AAATTGATATAATTAAAATTAAAAAAAAATTGAAAAATTAAAATTTCTCTCGAAAAATTGAAAAATTGGAAAGTCAAAAAATCGAAAAGTCGAAAAATTAAAATTTGTATTAATAAATTTTAAATCGGGAAATCGAAACATCAAAGTTTCGAAAAATGGAAAAATCGAAAATGTAAAATTTACAAAAATGAAAGACCAAAAAAATTAAAATAATTAGAAATCGAAACATCAAAAAATCGAGAAGTCGAAAAATCGGGAAATTGAAATAATTCAAATTAAAAAAAAATTGAAAAATTAAAATTCCTCTCGAAAAATTGAAAAATCAAAAAGTCGAAAAATTTTGAGGTTTCCAAAAAGTGAAAAGTCAAAAAATGAAAAATCGAAATAATGAAGTCTTAAAACTGTACCATCGAAAATTTCCGAAATCGTAAAATTTAAATTAAAAAATCTGAAAATTAGAAAATTAGAAAACTAGAAATCGAAAAATCTAACGCTTAAAGAACCGAAAAATTGACGAAAATTGAAAAATCACAACCCGAAAAATTGGAAAATCGAAGGGGTAAAATCGTAAAACCAAAATCGAAATTGAAAAATCGGGAAATCGAGATAAATCGAGAAATTGAAAAGTCGGAAAATCGAAAAATTCAAATTTGAAACATTGATACTTAAAAAAAAGTTCAATCGAAAAATCAACAATCGAAACATCGAAATCTCGAAAAAATGTAAAAATTGAACGACCGAAAAATCTAATGTTTAAAAAGCCGAAACCTGAAAAATCGCTAAACAGAAAAATCGAAATTGAAAAATTGAAATATCGAGAAATCTAAAAAATTTTAAATATCGAAAAACCGAGGGGTCCACAAATTGAAAATGCGAAAAATCGAAAAATTGAAATATGTATTAAAAAATTTTAAACTGGGAACTCGTAACATCAAAATTTCGAACAATGCAAAAATCGAAAATGTCGAAAAATTGAAAAATTGGAAAATCGAAGAAAATCGAAAATTTGAAAAATCCCAAACCCAAAATGTCGAAAAATCAAGAAATTGGAAAATCGAAGTCAAAAGCTTGAAATATTGAGAAATCGAGAAATCGAAAAAATGAAAAACCGAAAAATTTTAAATATCGAAAAACCGAGGTGTCCAGAAATCCAGGAAAATCGAAATACGTATTAAAAAAATTTAAACCGAGAAATCAAAACATCAAAATTTTAAAAAGTGTAAAAATCGAAAATGTAAAATTTAAAAAACTGAAAGACTAAAAAATCAAAAAAAAGAACTAGAAATTGAGAAATCGAAAAATCGCAAAATCGAGAAATCAAAAGTGAAAAATTGAAACATTTAAACTTAAAATACCGATAAAGCGAAAAATCGAAACGTTGAAAAATCGAATCATTGGATAAATCAAGAAATTCAAAAAACTGAAAAATCGGAAAATTTAAAAACAGAACAATTGAGAAATCGGAAAACCGCGAATTATAAAAATTGAAAAATTTAACTGAAAAATCTAAAAGCGAGAAGTCGAAAAAGCGGAACATTGAGAAATCGAAATAACAAAAAAGTGAAAAATCTAACGTTTAAAAATTGGAAAATTCAGTTTAATTTATTAAATAGAAAAATCGTTGAACCGAAAAATGGAGAAACCAAAATAACTAAAATAAAAAAAATTGAAAAATTAAAATACCTATCGAAAAATTGAACAATCGAAAACAAAAAAATCGAAATTTTGAAAAATCCCAAAACTCAACCATCAAAAACTTGCGCAAGATCGAAAAATTCAAAACTGAAACGTTTAAACTTAAAAAACAGTAAATTGAAAATCCAAACAAAGAAATCTCGAAAAATTGAAAGATAGAAGGAATAAAATCTTAAAAATCGGTAAACTAACAAAAAAATCAAAAAAACTAGGAATCTAAAAGTCGAAGAATTGCAAAATCGAAAAATGGAATTAAAAAAACTGAGGCATCGAGAGATCGAAACATCAAAAGAAAATTGAAAAGTTGAGAAATCGAATTAACTCAAAATCGGAAAATTGAAAAATCGAACAAAATTTGTAAAATCAGCAAATCGAAAAATCAATAATTTTAAAAATTGAGAAACGTCAAACGTTAGAAATTGGAAAAACTAGAAATTGAAAGATCAAAAATTTGAAAAATCAAAAAATTTTAAGTTCAAAAATTCGAAAGAGTGAATAATTGAAATCGAAAAATTGAAAGACCGAAATATTAAAAAATCCCAAAATTGAACCATCGAAAATCCAAAAAATAAAATGAAAAAAGCTAAAAACTAAAGAATCAAAAAGCAGAAATCGAGAAATCGAAATATTTAACATTTAAAAACTCGAAAAATCGAAAAACCGGAAAATTGAAAAAACGAGAAATTAAAAAAACACAAATCCGAAATGTCGAAAAATTGAAAAATTGGAAAATCGAAGCCGAGAAATCGCAAAACCGAGAAATAGAAATTGAAATGAATAATTGAAATATCGAGAAATCGATACATCAGCATAGATACATAGATCGAAAAATTGAAAATCGAAACATAGAAAACTCGTGAAATTGAAAATAGAATAATAGAAAAATCAAAAATCGAATCGAAGTTGGAAAAGTCGCAAAATCGGAAAACCGAAAACTCGAAATAGAAAAATTGAAACATCGAGAAATCGAAACACCAAAAGATCAAGAAATCAAGAAGTCGAAAAATAGAAAAATTGAGAAATCGAAATGGGTCAAAATCAAAAAAATGAAAAATCGAAAAGTTTAAAAACAGAAAAATTTAAAAATCGAAAAATCAAGAATTTTCAAAATTGAAAAATTAAATCGGAAAATCTCAAAGCGAGAAGTCGAAAAAGTAGAAGAGCGAGAAATCGAAACATTAAAAAAGTGAAAAACCTAACATTTAAAAATTCGAAAATTCGATTTAATTTAAGAAAAATCAATGAACCGAGAAACCGAAATATCTAAAATTTAAAAAATTGAAAAATCCAGAAATCAAAAAATCGAAATATTAACAAATCCCAAAACTGAAAAATCCGAAAATTGCAAAATTGGAAATTTCAGAAATGGGATAATAAAATTAAAGAAATCGAAAAATTAGAAATCGAAAAATCGAAATAGCTCAAAATCGAAATAGCTCAAAATCGACACATTCAAAATTGAAATTAAACAAAATTTTTGAAATTTTTCATTTCCCAATTTTTCAATTTATTGTCTTTTTAAGTTTGATCGTTTCAATTTTGAATTTTTTTGAACAAAAAAGTAAAAATGAAGATATTGAAAAGTCGAAACATTGAAAAATCCTAAAAAAAAAACATCGGAGAGTCGAGAAATCGAAAAACTGAAGACTCAAGAAATTGGAAAGTCGAAAAATTTTGATGACTCCAAAAAGTAAAAAGTAAAAAAAATGAAAAATCGAAATATTAAAAAATCACAAAATCGAAAAACTAAAAAATCGAAAACTAGAAATCGAGAAATTGAAAAATTCTAAACCCGAAATGCCGAAAAATTGAAAAATTAGAAAATCGAAGTAGAGAAATAGCCCAAAATTGAAATTAAAATTTAAACCTAAAAAAACATGATATGAACAATTGAAAATCGAAACATCGAAATCTCGACAAATTGAAAAATCGAAAAATTAAAAATTTCAAAAACCGAAAAACTGGAAAAACCGAAAAACCTAAAAGCGGGAGTCGAAAGATAGAGAAATCGTAATATCAAGAAAGTAGAAAATTTAAAAATTCGAAAAATAGAAAAAGCAAGAAATTAAAATATCGAATCCGGAAGTCGAAAAATCAAAAAATTGAGAAATCAAAAATTGAAAATTTATAAACCCCAAATTGAAAAAGCGTGAAGTTTAAAAATCAAAGAATTGAGTCATCGAAAATCGACAAATCGTAAAATCGAAAAACCGAAAAATCGACACATTGTTATTCAGTTTTGCTTTTCCCCCAAAAAAATCTCGATGTCTAGGATGAAAATTCAACACGGATTCATAAACCACAAGTTCACAGGACTGTGTTAAATTTTTCATATTTAAATAATATTTATTCGACAAAACTGTAAGATGAAATGATTAAATCCTGGGGGCATGATAACCGATAACCTTAAAACGTTTGCAAGATTTCAAAGCATTAGGACGACAGTTACTATTGTAAAATTTATAGATGACGTCATTCTGTTGTTGGTGGGGATAATCAGACAGATTTGTTCAATCGCTCCGGAAACAGGAGACCACATTTTTCGTACTCTGGAGGTCATGAAACGTCGAGAAAACATGAGTGTAGCAGTCGCCCTCGGTCTCGATTGCTATCGTACCTTAGTTTACGCACAGGAAGCAAAACGGCTCCTTATTACCCCCATTAAAAAAACAAACTTCCACTTTACGCTCCCACCGTAAACACACTCAAATAAAAATCCAAAACAGAAGCATCAAATAAAGATAACACAACAATCAATAAAACGAACTCCTCAAAATGATAAATCTTTAAACGCAACGATTCAATCGTCCCACGACCCCTCAAAACAAAACGAATAACTTTACGAAACGCGACTTGAATTAAACAGAAGCGAGAAATCTCGAGGCGAAAATAGAACGAAACAAAGCGTAAAGCCGCCACTATCGAAGTGAACGCTATCAGATTTTTATTTTTTTACGACGGCGACCATAAAAACTCGATTAGGTAAATATACACCACAACAAAGCAACAGAACATCGACATCAAATCATTAATCTCCATTAAACCGAAACAATAAATATTGGAGATAACGAAGATCGTGATATTTCCACGATATGACAAGGTCCTCGTGGTGTTATCTTAATCTCCCGCCACGGCACGATTGATTGAAAAACGCCTCGTTTAATTCAATAAAGAACGAAAATTGGTTGAGCGACCTTGAATAGTCGAAAACTAGACGTAGTTTTTAGGTTATGTTGTAACGTTTGCGAATGACAGATAGACAACGTTTCTTGGACGTCGCAGTTTAACGTATATTTTATTTGTAGATGCGCTCGACAAGGTCGCCGACCGCCTCGTCGGTCCCTACAACATCGAAATCGTCGTGGAGCCCCTCAACATCAAGATCTCCGAAGCCATCATGAACTTCCAAGAGAGCGGCACCGAAGTCTCGCAGAAGATCTACACTTATTGCGGCAAACCAGCTCTGAACCGACGAAAAAGGAAAACGAAATTCAGCGACGACGAGCTCGAGGACAACGCCGCCTACGAGGTGAAATACTCCCCGTTGAAGAAGGTGGGCCACAAGAAGAAGAAAAACAAGAAGCACGAAGAGGAGGACGAAGGACCGAGCTTGGAGAGACTCATCAAAGACATCAAGACGGTACGTGTACGTCATTGGACGCCAGATGGCGCGACGCGTAAACAAGATGTCCGAGACGAAGACGCTCTAATAAATCTGTTAGGCTGGTTTGTTTGTTTGGATAGGGACGAATTCGGTTGTCAAAAATTCAGAGGGGTCTGGTTTGTTTCATTAAGGCGGGGGGCGGTAATTAAGGGGAGGATGTTTAAAAATGGATTAAGGCGATAAAGTTTGTTATGAATGGCGGTGGCCTTGCGGACTCGTCGTTTTTGGAGAGTGTGAGAAGATTTCGGCGCAGGCTTTTAGTGGATGGTAATTTTGGAGTAAGGCGCTAAATGGGGAATTTATTGTTTTAGCGGTTTTTGCTGGGAGCGCTGAACTTGTTCAGACATGTGGTCGTTTTGCGCTTTTTTGATATTAAAGTAACGCGCCAAATTGCTTAAGTACAATTATTTCGACCATTTTGGTGTATTTGTGACAGCTGTCTCATTACAATAACTGTCAACTGGGTAAATAGACAAAGAACAGTTTACACAACTAAACATAGCTTTGGAGATAAGCCCGTAATGCTCGTTATCGTAGTGGATAAAAATATTTTCGTTACTTAGGGTGTCAATATTTGTTTGAAGAAAAAATCTCTTGAACGTCGTAAAAGAGATATTTTCAAACATAAATATATACGAATTTCGGTTTGCACTGTTGCGAAGTTTACAGCAATTTAAATGATTACATAAACTGAAGTTGAAGTTCTGTGTGGGAAAATTGTTTTGATGCGAGTGATGCGAGTTTTCACCTAATAACTGTCCTGACACGAGATAAATTTTAATTTAATAGATTTTCATTTCTCGCGAGACAGCTAGAATAGGGTCCACTTGACGAATGGTTAATTTCACTTTTTTCAACGTTTCGTAATCTGTAGAGTAGGAAAAAGTAGGTCACCCGTTTACATCTGTCTGTCGTTTGTGCAGTTTTATTGGACACCGTTTATTACTCCGTTCTTGCTCTTTATCTTAAACTCGTAGTTTTTTGGAAAAAAATCAAAAATATAAAATAATGTGTTACAATTTAACTTGGAAACTACAAAATCGACTGCTATAAATCACGTTTAAGGCCAATCAAAATTTTGTTTATCTTCTCCAAATTTTATTAGGTAAATTTAATTATTTTTTATTGTCTTTGTTACTTTTGTACTCTTTTTTTATAGCGTTTTTTCGCTTTTGTTGACCACTTTTTCTGATTTTCATTTTTTTTAAGTCGTATTTTTGCCGCCTTTTATTGTGCCCTATTTTTTGTCTGTTTTTTGTCGCCCTTCTTTTTGTAATTTTTTGTCAACTTTTGTATCGCTCTTTTTGTAACTTTTTTCGCTTCTTTTCCCGCGTTTTTTGTACCTGTTTTCTAATATTTTTTGGAATCGTTATGGCGGTTTTTTCATTTTTTTTTGTGGGCTTTTTAAATATTTTTTCCCTTTCTTGTTTTTGTGCCACTTTTTTGCTCCCATTTTTTTAGAGGTATTTTGTGGCTTTTATTTTATTTTTTTTCACCTTTTTTTCGTTTTCTTCTGCCACTTTTTCTGACTTTTTAACTTGCATTTTTTGTTGCTTTTTTTATATTTTTTTATGTCTTTGCATTTTTGTGTGTCATTGTTTGGTTCCCTTTAAAGTTTAAACACTTTTTTCACTAATGGCCACTTTTTCTGACTTCCATTTTTTAAAGTCGTATTTTTTGACCCCTTTTATTGTGACCCATTTTTTTCTTTCTTTCTTTGTCGCCCTTTTTGTGGACTTTCTTCGCTATTTCATGTTCTTTTTGGGCGTTTTTTACCACTTTTTACTTCTTTTTTCGTCGCATTTTTTCTATACTAATTTTTGTCGCCCTTTTGATGACTTTTCTTTATCACATTTTTCTGGCCTTTTTAAGTATTTTTTTTTATTCCTCTTCTTTTTGTCGCCTTTTTTGACTCCGTTGTAGTGCCATTTTTTGTGACCTATTTTTCCCGCTTTCGATGTCTTTGTTTCTCTTTTTTATAGCTTTTTCTAACGCATTTTTATGGCATTTTTTGGCCTTTTTTTGTTTTTTTCATCGCTTTCTTTTTTTTTTTTTGATCTTTTTTTTTTGTTTTTATATCCCTGTTCTTTTTTGTGGAATTTTTTCCCTTTTTTCCCGTCTTTCTTTTCTTTGTTTTATCCTCTGTTGTTGTTGTTGTTGTTGTTGTCTTTTTTTGTAGCTTTTTCTATCGCATTGTTATGGCCTTTTTTTTTTGTTTTTTAAACACATTTTTTGTGGCCTTTTCTAGTATTTTTTACTCCTTTTCTTCTTGTGTCCCTTTTTTTTGACTTCCTTTCAATAAATGGCATTTTTGTGGCGGTCTGATGATCCTATCATTTATTATATTTTTATGGCCTTTTTTTCGTGTTTCATCGCTTTTTTTTTGTCCCTTTTTGATCACTTTTTGTATTTTTTTTTATTCCTGTATCTTTTTGATGGCTTTACTTTTATCAAATTTTTGTGGCCTTTTTTAGTATTTTTTTTATTCCTCTCCTTTTTTGTCGCTTTTTTTGACTCTTTTTAGTGCCATTTTTTGTGACCTATTTTTCCCGCTTTCGTTGTCTTTGTTTTGTCCTCTTTTGTTGTTTCTCCTTTTTTATAGCTTTTTCTAGCGCATTTTTATGGCCTTTTTTCCATTGCTTTTTTATCACATTTCTTGTGGCCTTTTTTCGTTTTCTTCATCGCTTTCTTTTTTCCTTTTTGATCACTTTTTTGTGTTTTTATATTCTTGTTCTTTTTTGTGGCGTTTTTTTGACGCTCTTTTTGTAGTGGCTTTTTTGTGACCTATTTTTTCTTTGTCGCCCTTTTTTTTTGTCAATTTTTCCCCTTTTTCCCGCCTTTGTTATCTTTGTTTTATCCTCGGTTGTTGTTGTCTTTTTTGTAGCTTTTTCTATCGCACTTTTATGGCTTTTTTTCCAATGTTTCTTTTATACCATATTTTTTGTGGCCTTTTTTTTTAAGTATTTTTTTATTCCTCTTCTTTTTGTGTCCCTTTTTTTTTGACTCTCTTTTTATAAACGGCATTTTTGTGACGTTTTGATGATCCCATCATTTATCATATTTTTGTGGCCTTTTTTCGTTTTTTCATCGCTTTCTTTTTGTGTCGTGTTTTTGACTCTTTTTTTAGTGGCAGTTTTTGTGATCTATTGTTTTTCTTTGTCGCCAGTCTTTTCGTAATTTTTTGTCGCCCTTTTTTTGTCTATTTTTGTATCGCCCTTTTTTGTGAACGTCTTTCCCTTTTTTCACGCTTGTTGTCTTTTTTTGTAGTTTTTAATGGCCTTTTTTCCTTTCCTTTTTTATCATATTTTTTGTGGATTTTTTTCCTTTTCTTTTTGTATCTCTTTTTTGACTATCTTTTTATAAATGACATTTTTGTAGCTTTTGTGACGATTGGTTTTTCCCTTTTTCCTTGCCGCTTTTTCTAACTTCCATTTTTTTAGTCACCCTTTTTATGGATCTTTTTCGCTTTTTGTCGCTATTTTATCTTGTTTTTTTGTTGTCTTTTTTTGTCGTTTTTTACCACTTTTTACTTGCGTTTTAGTAGTATTTTTTTCTATAGCAATTTTTGTCGCCCTTTTTGTGGCTGTTTTTCGTATTTTTTTTATTCCTCTTCTTTTTGTGTCGCTTTTTTGGACTCTTTTTTTAAGTGGCCTTTTATATGGCCAATTTTTTTCATTGTCGCCCTTGTTTTTGTAATTGTTTGTCGCCCTTCTTTTGTCCATTTTTGTATCGCCCTTTTATTGTGGACGTTTTTCCCTTTTTTCTCGCTTTTATTGTCTTTGTTTGATCCTCTTTTGTTGTTGTCTTTTTTGTAGCTCTTTTTATAGCATTTGAATGCCCTTTTTTCCATGGCTTTTTTATCATATTTTTCTGTAGTATTTTTTAAGTACTTTTTTATGTACCTTTTTTTTTACTCTCTTTTTATAAATGGCATTTTTGTGGCCCTTTACCGTCACTGGATTTTTCCGTTTTACCTGCCACTTTTTCTAACTCCCTTTATTTAGTTACCCTTTTTGTGGACTTTTTCCGCTATTTTCTCGCTTTTTGTTGCTATTTTAACTTTGTTTTTATTGTCTTTTTTATCGTTTTCTACCACTTTTTCCTTCCATTTTTGTCGTATTTTTTTTCCATCGCAATTTTTGACAGTTTTTTTATGGCATTTTTGTTGCCCTTTTTTTGTATTTTTCCCCCTCTTTTTTTGTTCATTTTTTTCCCTTTTTTGTCGCTTTTATTGTCTTTGTTTGATCCTCTTTTGTTGTTGCCTTTTTTTTGTAGCTTTTTCAATAGCATTTTTATGGCCTTTTTTTCCGTCCCTTCTTTTAATTATATTTTTTTGTGGCGGTTTTTGGTATTTTTTCTGACTTCCATTTCTTTAAGTCGTAATTTTTGACACTCTTGATTGTGACTTATTTTTTTTTTCTTTCTTTGTCGCCCTTTTTTTTTAATTTTTTTGGCCACTTTTGTATCACCCTTTTTGTGGACTTTTTTCGCTATTTTCTTCTTTTTTTCTGTCGCTGTTTCATCCTTTTTTTTGTCGTTTTTACCACTCATTATTTTCTTTTAAGTCGCGATTTTTTTCACCTTTTTTGATGACTCGTCTTTGTCACATTTTTGTGGGCTTTTTTAGTATTTTTTTATTTCTCTTTTTGTATCGCCTTTTTGACTCCTTTTTGTCGCCTTTTTTAATAACTTGTTTAGCACATTTTTTAGTATTTTTTTATTCCTGTTCTTTTTGTGTCATTTTTTCGCTTTTTTGGCTCTTTTTATTAATGGCATTTATTTTTTGTGGCCCTTTATTGTCACTTGCTTTTTCCGTTTTTCCTGCCACTTTTTCTAACTTCCTTTATTTAGTTACCCTTTTTGTGGACTTTTTTCGCTATTTTCTCGCTTTTTGTCGCTATTTTTTATCTTGGTTTGTGCTGTCTTTTTTGTCGTTTTCTACCACTTTTTCCTTCCTTTTTTTGTGGCATTTTTTTCCCATCGCAATTTTTGACAGTTTTTTTTATGGCATTTTTGTTGCCCTTTTTTTGTATTTTTTCCCCTCTTTTTTTTGTTCATTTTTTCCCCTTTTTTATGGACGTTTTTCCCTTTTTTGTCGCTTTTATTGTCTTTGTTTGATCCTCTTTTGTTGTTGCCTTTTTTTTTTGTAGCTTTTTCAATAGCATTTTTATGGCCTTTTTTTCCGTCCCTTTTTTTAATTATATTTTTTCGTGGCGTTTTCTGGTATTTTTTCTGACTTCCATTTTTTTAAGTCGTAATTTTTGACACTCTTTATTGTGACTTATTTTTTTTTCTTTCTTTGTCGCCCTTTTTTTTTTTTAATTTTTTTGGCCACTTTTGTATCACCCTTTTTGTGGACTTTTTTCGCTATTTTCTTGCTTTTTTCTGTCGCTGTTTCATCCTTTTTTTTGTCGTTTTTACCACTTATTACTTTCCTTTAAGTCGCGATTTTTTTCACCCTCTTTGTCGCATTTTTGTGGGCTTTTTTAGTATTTTTTTATTTCTCTTTTTGCATCGCCTTTTTGACTCCTTTTTTGTCGCCTTTTTTAATAACTTGTTTAGCACATTTTTTGGTATTTTTTTGTTCCTGTTCTTTTTGTGTCATTTTTTCGCTTTTTTGGCTCTTTTTATTAATGGCATTTATTTTTTGTGGCCCTTTATTGTCACTTGCTTTTTCCGTTTTCCCTGCCACTTTTTCTAACTCCAATTTTTTTAGTGGGTTTTTTGTAAACTTTTTTGTATTTTTACCTTTCTTCTTCTTTTTGTGTCGTTTCCTTTTTTTTTAAGTGGCATTTTTTGTGGCCCTTTTCCGTCGCTTCTTTGTGGCGTTTTGATGATCCCATCATTTATCATATTTTTCTGGCCTTTTTTCGTTTTCTCATCACTTTCTTTTTGTCCCTTTTTTGATCACTTTTTTTGATACTTTTTCAGATTCCCTTTTTTTAATTGCATTTTTTGACTGTATTTTATTATCTTTTTCGTGCCTCTTTTTGTCACCTTTTAATCCTTTTTGTAGTCGCATTTTGATTCCATTTTTTATCGCCTTTTTTTGGCAACCTTTAATCTTTTTTTTTTTCTCTTTTTCGAACTCCCATTTTTTGTTGCTTTTATTGTGACCTATTTTTTCTATTTATTTGTTACCTTTTTGTAATTTTTTTGTACCGTTTTTTGTCTCACTTTTGTATCGCTTTTTTGTGGATTTTTGTCTCTTTTTTTTGTCGTTTTTATTGTCCTTGAAAAAGTTAACGTCATCACAAGATTTTATAATGAAAAATTTACTGAAAACTTACTCCTGGTGGGCTTCTTTACCTGTAATTTTAACAATCCTCAGACTTATTTTAACCTACAGAAGTTATTATTAAAAAATAAAATTCGCAAAGTCAAATGTTATAGTTAATTGTTTTAGGAAATTGGATTGGTTTGATTGTGCCTACGTCAGGGGCGAGGGAAGTTCGGTCTTTGGACCAATTTGTTTTGTGGTTTGTAAGCTGACTATCAAACATTAAAAGCAGAAATCAGTTTAAAAATATATATAAAAAAAAACTAAATAAATTTAATTATAAATAATTGAATTCTTATCTTTTGCCAAACTAATTTTCGTCTTTTTTATCTGCAGAAGGTCCGCGAGACGCGCCAGTTCTGGGCCAACTTGCCCTACCAGTTCTGCAACAACCTCACGGCGCCCCCCAGCGCCAACGGCAAGTGCTGGAACGGCACCGCCATCGGCGACTACGAGCCCCCCGGCAAGCCGCCGGCCGGCAACTCGTCCGTCGTCAAGGACCAGATCTACGTGCTGCAGCTGTTCACCGACCAGCTGCGCAAAGCCTACCACGGCGACGAAGTAGAGTTTTTTGATGACGACACCGAGGACACGCTCGACGGCTCGGGCTCCGGCTCCGGCGACTTCGAGATCGACAGCGCCGAGAGCGAGGAGCCCAAGCTCGTGCCCAAAGTCGAGGACGAGTTCGAGGCCATCGACGAGGTGCCGGGGCCGCAGCCGCCCCCCAGCACGGCGGCGCCCGACGCGCCGCGGGCGGCCGGGGGCGCCGCCACCATGTCGCTCAACCGCGCGCTGGCGCAGTTCCTGCTGCCCATCGTGCTGGTCTGGTTCGGGGGTGCCATATCGGACTTGCTGTGATAAGTTGTAAATAAGTGAGAGGGCCAAGTGAGAGACTCGACGCTTGACTTTTTGTGTACATGTTTTGTAACATTTTCCATGTAATGTGAAGTTTAGATGTATTTATATTAACAGAAAAAGAAAATATACGAGATACATTTTTTCACGGTTTTTTATTAATAAAAATAATTTGTCGAGTAGGAAACAAGTGTTCAATCCATGGCGTAGCTGGCGGGGCGGGTCTTTAAATAAACGTACACTACTATGAAAACAAACATGACACAGAGGGCTGGGACCACGATGGTTTTCACTTGCTTCTGGATTTCGGCTTGCTCCTTTTTCCGCTGCTTCTTCTCCTTTGAGGACTCCTTCTGTTTGCCACCTTTGAGCTGCCGCATCTTGGGGTCCTTCATCGAAACACACTTTTAGCGTCACTTAGTCCAGGCTTAGAATTAAAAACTTACCGAATTTACTCACTAATCGCCACCAACTGCAAGCAGCTACCTAGCTATCGCTCTATCGCTTGCTGACGTTACATCCGACTTTTGTAGGTTAAGTTACACGTCACACACACGTTGACAAACAACAGGTTGTCAAGCGAAGTGGAGGGGCTCAAAGTACACATTATTGTCCTCTTATTACAACCAAGGTTATCGATTGTTGCTATTTTCGACGATTTTATGTAGCAAATAACCTGCCTTATCACGGTTTACGATCGCTACGACACAAATTTCACTCATTTTCGAGAAAATTGTTCAAACATCAAGTTTACTGCTGTCATTTGACCAGTGGTGCCAATCGCCGAGAAATGTATCTCGAGTCACGTGACTGTGCGAATGTCAATTTTTGAAAATGTAATGGCGGAAAGCGAGTGGTGATTGTGAGAGTTTTTAAACAATTTAAAGTGGTTAATTGTTGTTTAAGTTGTTGGATGTGTCACCAGCAGACTGTACGTTCGATAGTTTGTGTTTTTTTCGCGAGTTATCGTACTTTCCATTTACCATAGGTGGCCGGTGAAGATGGTGGAAAACAGTGAAGGTATGTTGCATTTTTGCCTTATTGAGACCAGAAAGTGTCCCATTTAGATAAAACTGTGTATTGTAGTGCATTTTTCTGTTCCATTTATCCGAATTTTCCAACGGGTTAAGTTTTTTTGGAAAATTTATCTTCGAAGCGGACCGCAGATCGAACGAAAATTTTGTCAGCGTTTGATAGTGGTGTCCACAAAATGTCTATACATTTAAAGTTTCGGTATTGCGGATGCGTCTAGCGCGTGCTATGTTTGTGCTACTGTAAGTAACTTTTCATTATAATAATTACACTCATTGAAGCGGACTGTGGCGTAGAATGCGATTGATCCATATATTCCAACCCAATACCAACCAAAGGGTAACATTCCGCTAAATCCCCTAAACGTGCATGGGTGACTGCCCACATTACTAATTGACATTCTTAAGGTCGATTTATAAACTTGTCGCTGATGTTGCTGTTGAAAATTGGCACGGCAGTGGGTTTTCAATCAATCAAATTGCGATTGCGATCGTGTGCACTGCTGCCAACTTGAAAGAAAATCCCCCAAAGTAGACAAAAATCAAATTTTGTTAGAGGCAATGAGGTCCACTAATATGAAGCCATTTATTAGTCACCTGTTCAACGAAGAGCTGAGCTTGGGATGGATATGGGGCTTAATTTTTTTTAATATACACAGTTTTTTTTAACAATACGACACTCAAAAACATGTTTCTTATTTTTTGTAGAGGAATAAAGATTTTGCAATAAAGCTCCGCCCTCTTGGCTCACGATGCATAAAAAAATCATCACAATTGAGATAGGGCGGGTGGGCGGGGTGTATATTTTGCCTTTTTTTCTTAATATGTGTAGTCATCTTTTCACTACAAGAAACTTAAAACATGATGAAAATGGAAAATTTGTGTAAGGAAATATTGATTTTTCAAATGTGGGGCGGAGCCTAATTGCAAAATTGATATTTCCTCATACAAATTTTTCATTTTAAACAAGTTTGAAATTTCATATTGTGGAAAGAAATGCAGGCGTATTAAAACAAAAAGGCAAAACCAAAACCCGCCCACCCGCCCTGTGTCAGTTGTGATGATTTTTTTTTATTCGCTGTGAACCAAGCGGGTGGAGCTTAACTGCAAAATACTTACTTCTTTATAAGAAATTAAAAACATGTGTTGTTCAAGGAATACTACGTATATTAAGAAAAAAAAGGCAAAAGCTAAACCCCGCCCACCCAGCTGATCTCAATTGTGATGATGTCTTTTTATTCTTTGAAACTTAAAACACGTTTAAAATGGTAAATTTTTGTAAGGAAATATGGATTTTGCAATTAGGCTCCGCCTCTAGGTCTGCCAACGAATGAAAACTTGATTAGTCTTTAGATCAGGGCAAGTATGGGTGGGGCTTCATCTTTGGCTTTAGTTTTTCTTAATATACATAGTATTCTTTGAACAACACGATACTCAAAAACATGGTTTTAATTTCTCATTGAAAAATAAGGATTTTGCAGTTGAGCTCCGCCTTCTGGGCTCACAACGAATAAAAAAAATCATTACAATTGAGATAGGGTGGGTGGGCGGGGCTACATTTTAACTTTATTTTTTTAATATATGTAGACTTATTTCGACAACAAGACACTTAAAACATGTTTAAAATGATAAATTTGTATAACGAAATATCGAATTACGCTCCACCTCTCGGTCTTACAACGAATGAAAAAATTATCAGAATTGGGATAGGGCGGGTGGGTGGGGGCTTATATTTTGTCTTTTGTTTTCTTAATATATACAGCCATCTTTTCACAACAAGAAACTTAAAACATGGTAAAATGATACATTTTTGCAAGGAAATAGGGATTTTGCAATTATGGTAAACAAATTTTTCATTTTAAACATGTTTGAAGTTTCATGTTGTTGAAATAAGTCTACACATATTAAAAAAATTAAGTTAAAATGTAGCCCCGCCCACCCACCCTATCTCAATTGTGATGATTTTTTAGTCCGTTTTTTTCTATCGCAATTTTTGTCGCATTTTTTCCATGATTTGCTTAGCACATTTTTAATGGCCTTTTTTAGTATTTTTTATTCCTGTTCTTTTTGTGGCCCTTTATTGTCACTTACTTTTTCCGTTTTCCCTGCCACTTTTTCTAACTCCAATTTTTTTAGTGGACTTTTTTGTATTTTTACCTTTCTTCTTCTTTTTGTGCCCCTTCATTTTTTTAAGTGGCATTTTTGTGGCCCTTTTTCGTTCCTTTTTTTGATACTTTTTCAGATTGCCATTTTTTAAAAACATTTTTTGTCTGTATTTTATTACCTTTTTCGAGCATCTTTTTGTCACCTTTTTATTGCTTTTTTAGTCCCATTTTGATTCCATTTTTTATCGCCTTTTTTTTGTCACGTTTTTTTCATCGTCGTCTTTTTACATTCTGTTGGCAACCTTTAATCATCTTTTTTCTCTTTTTCGAACTTCCATTTTTTGTTGCGTTTATTGTGACCTAGTTTGTTCTATTTATTTGTTGCTCTTTATTAATTAAACTTAGAACATGGTTAAAATGGTACATTTTTGCAAGGAAATAGGGATTTTGCAATTATGGTATACAAATTTTTCATGTTAAACATGTTTGAAGTTTCATGTTGTGAAAAGAAGTCTACATATATTAAAACAAAAACAAAAACGTCAGCCCACCCACCCACCCTATCTCCATTGCAATGAATTTTTTTATTCGCAGTGAACCCAAGTGGGCGAAATTTAACTGCAAAATACTTATTTCTTTACAAGATATTAAAACATGTTTTTGAGTATCGCGTTGTTCCAAGAACACTATGTATATTAAGAAAAAAAGGCGAAATATACAGCACGCCCACCCACCTCATCTCAATTGTGATGATTTTTTTTATTCGCCGTGAACCAAGGGGGCGGAGCTTAACTGCCAAATACTTGTTTCTTTATAAGAAGTTAAAACATATTTTTGAGTATCGTGTTGTTTAAAGAATATTACGTATATTAAGAAAAAAAAGGCAAAATATAAACCCCCCCCACCCACCCCATCTCAATTGTGATGATTTTTTTATTCTTAGAAACTTAGAACACGTTTAAAATTGTAAATTTTTGTAAGAAAATAAGGATTTTGTAGTTGAGCTCCGCATTGAGGGCTCACGACGAATAAAAAAAATCATCACAATTGAGATAGGGCGGGTGGGCGGGGCTACATTTTGCCTTTTTTTTCTTAGTATTTGTAGACTGATTTCGACAAAAAAACTTAAGACATGTTTAAAATGATAAATTTGTATAGGGAAATATCGATTTTGCAATTACGCTCCGCCTCTCGGTCTGACAACGAATGAAAAATTGGGGCGTCTCGTTTGGTTTTCTTTTTTAATTAATACATTTAGTTTTCTTTGTATAACACTATTACTTAAGAACATATTTCACATGATAATTTCTCGCAGAAAAATAACGATTTTACAATTAAGCTCCGCCCCTCGGCTTACGACCAATTAAAAAAAAAACATCAGAATTGAGATAGGGCGGGTGGGTGGGGCATATATTTCGTCTGTTCTTTCTTAATCATAGCCATCTTTTCATAACAAGAAACTTAAACCATGGTTAAAATGGTTTTTGCAAGGAAATATGGATTTTTCAATTATGGGGCAGAGCCTATTGCAAAATCGATATTTCCTTATACTAATTTTCCATTTTAAACATGTTTTTGTGTTTTATGTTGTGAAAAGAAGTCTACATATATTAAAACAAAAAGACAAAATGTCAGCCCGCCCACCCACCCTATCTCCATTGTAATGATTTTTTTTATTCGCAGTGAACCCAAGGGGGCGAAGTTTAACTGCAAAATACTTATTTCTTTACAAGAAATTAAAACATGTTTTTGAGTATCGCGTTGTTCTAAGAACACTATGAATATTAAGAAAAAAAGGCAAAATATACACCCCGCCCACCCAACCCAACTCGATTGTGATGATCTTTTTTATTCTTAGAAACCTAAAACATGTTTAAAATGGTAAATTTTTGTAAAGAAGTATGGATTTTTCAATTAATCTCCGCCCCTAGGTTTGCTAACGAATGAAAACTTCATAACTATTTAGATCAGGGCAGGTATGGGTGGGGCTTAATTTTTGGCTTTAATTTTTTCTTAATATACTTAGTATTCTTTGTCTTTGAATACCACGATACTCAAAAACATGTCTCACATGGTATTTTTGTGGATAAAGAATAAGGATTTTGCAATTAAATTACGCTCCTTTGGCTCTCGACGATTAAAAAAATCATTACAATTGAGATAGGGCGGGTGGGCGGGGCTACATGTTGTCTTTTTTTTCTTAATTTGTATAGACTGATTTCAACAACAAGAAACTTAAAACATGTTTAAAATGATAAATTTGTATAGGGAAATATTAATTTTGCAATTACGCTCCGCCTCTCGGTCTGACAAAGAATGAAAAAATTGGGGCTTTTGTTTGGTTTTATTTTTTAATTAATACATTTATTATATTTCCTTATACAATTTTTTCATTTTAAACATGTTTGAAGTTTCATGTTGCGAAAAGAAGTCTACACATATTAAAACAAAAAGGCAAAATGTCAGCCCGCCCACCCACCCTATCCCCATTGTAATGATTTTTTTTATTCGCGTGAACCCAAGGGGGCGAAGTTTAACTGCAAAATTCTTATTTCTTTACAAGAAATTAAAACATGTTTTTGAGTATCGCGTTGTTCTAAGAACACTATGTATATTAAGAAAAAAAGGCAAAATATACACCCCACCCACCCACCCCACCTCTATTGTGATGATCTTTTTTATTCTTAGAAACCTAAATCATGTTTAAAATGGTAAATTTTTGTAAAGAAGTATGGATTTTTCAATTAGGCTCCGCCCGTAGGTCTGCCAACGACTGAAAACTTGATTACTCTTTAGATCAGGGCAGGTATGATGGACCTTAATCTTTGGCTTTAATTTTTTTTTAATATCCGTAGTATTTTTTGAACACGATACTCAAAGACATGTTTTTAATTTCTGGTAGAGAAATAAGGATTTTACAGTTGAGTTCCGCCTTCTTGGCTTACGACGAATAAAAAAAATCATCAGAATTGAGATAGGGCGGGTGGACGGGGCTTGCATTTTGTCTTGTTTTTCTTAATATACATTGCCATCTTTTCACAACAAGAAACTTTAAACATGATTAAAATGGTAGATTTTTGCAAGGAAATATGGATTTTGCAATTGTGGGGCGGAGCCTAATTGCAAAATTGATATTTCCTCATACAAATTTTCCATTTTAAACATGTTTGAAGTTTCATGTTGCGAAAAGAAGTCTACATATATTAAAACAAAAAGACAAAATGTCAGCCCGCCCACCCACCCTATCTCCATTGTAATGATTTTTTTATTGACAGGGAACCAAGGGGGCGAAGTTTAACTGCAAAATTGTTATTTCTTTACAAGATATTAAAACATGTTTTTGAGTATCGCGTTGTTCCAAGAACACTATGTATATTAAGAAAAAAGGGCAAAATATACACCCCGCCCACCCACCCCATTTCGATTGTGATGATTTTTTTCATTCGTAGAAACCTAAAACATGTTTAAATGGTAAATTTTTGTAAAGAAATATGGATTTTTCAATTGGGCTCCGCCCCTAGGTCTGCCAACGAATTAAAACTTGATTACTCTTTAGATCAGGGCAGGTATGGGTGGGCCTTAATCTTTGGCTTTAATTTTTTTTTAATATCCGTACTATTTTTTGAACACGATACTCAAAGACATGTTTTTAATTTCTCGTAGAAAAATAAGGATTTTGCAGTTGAGCTCCGCCTTCTTGACTCACGACGAATAAAAAAAAATCATTACAATTGAGACGGGGTGGGTGGGCGGGGCTCCATTTTGCCTTTTTTTTCTTAATATGTGTAGACTTATTTCGACAACATGACTAAAATAGTAAATTTTTGTAGTAATCAACTTAAATCCTCCACTTTTCTTCTTCAACCCCTTTAAATACGGCAAAAATTGAACATCAAAGTTACTATCAAAGGCAACTTGGTAACGGGATTAATAAATTACAATTTTCAGCTCTAAAAGCAACGTCAGCGGGAACTTCAATGTCAACAGAAAGTAATACTCGCTTCGCTCGATGGTACTTCATTGTTTGAATTTCGGTCGTGAACTGTGTTCGCAATCAAAAGACTACACCCTTTACATATAAAAGCCAAATTCGAATTTAATTTCATAAACACTATGATCAATTTATTTGTACACACCGTCAATGATACATTGTAATAAAAATAAATAAACATTTGAAACAAATTATGTCGACACACTTATTCCTCCTCTACTCGTACGTTACGTAATTCCTTGCAGAAATCTACACCTAAAAACCCCCGACAATCACACGAGTCCCTCACACCCTCTGCTGCAGCAGCTCCTCGGGCAGGTTATACAGACTCAGCACCGGGTAGAACGACGCCGGCGTTTCCACGAAGCTCTCCGTGATCGTAATCGGCTGCGGCGGCGCCAGCACCGTCCCCGGCGGGTTCCTGTGCGGCATCCCCGTCGGCGGGATGCTCTGCGGCTTGCGCACCGTCACGCTCGTGTTGATGCCGTGCCGCCGCTTCATGTGCTTGTTGTAGTTGGGCCAGTTGGTGAAGTGGTGCTGGCACTCGTGGCAGGAGTACGGCCGCTCCCCGGTGTGCTGGCGGCGGTGCGTCGTCAGCACGCCCTTGAAGCGGAAGCACTTGCCGCAGAACTCGCACGTGAAGGGCATGGCGCCGGTGTGAATACGGTGGTGCTCCTTGAGGGTGCCCTTTTCGCGAAACTGCCGGCCGCAGATGTCGCACTGGTGCGGCTTCAGGCCCGAGTGCACCGAGCCGTGCTTGCGCAGGCGCACGAGCGTCTTGAAGGCTTTGCCGCACGTCGAGCAGGCGAAGGGCCGGGCGGCGGTGTGGGTGATGAGGTGGTTGTCGAGGTTGCCCTTCTGGACGAAGCTCTTGCCGCACTGGTCGCAGGTGTAGTCGCGCACGCCGGCGTGGATGCGCTTGTGGGCCATGAGGTTGGGCTTCGTGCCGAATCTGCAAGATTGGGGCGGATGACGCGAGGTAAGTGAAAATGATTTCGTACAAACCTTTTTGGACATTGGTCACACTGGTGCTTGTTCTTCAGCTCCGCCGGTAAATGAGATCTGGCGTGAACCATCAAAGCAGACTGCATGCGAAAACTCTTCCCGCACGTGTTGCAGGTGTGGGGCCTCTCGTCCACGTGCTCGCTCCTGTGCTTCTTCTGCGCCAGAACGGTAGCAAACCACTTATTACAAATGTCACAACAAAAGCGCAACTTGGGGCGGTGCACGCGCACGTGTGTCAAAAACGTACTGTATTTGGTATAAACTTTAGGGCAGTCGGCACAAGGATACGAGGGGGCCTGCCCGTGGACGGTGGCATGATGTTCGCGCAAGTCTTCCGAATTGCTGAAGTTCTGATGGCAGTCGCAGCACGTCCAAGGATAGGTGTGCCAGCCGAAGAGTTCGCTTTTCGGGGTGACGGTGCCGTCGTCGTTCACTTCAACGTCACTGAGTTCCGAGTCACTCTCTTTTTTGTTGGATTTCGGCTTTTTCGTCTTCTCTGGGGGTTTGTGTGCGATCGGTTCCTCCTTTTTGGGGTTGGTGTCGGTCGGGTTTGATTTTACCTCGTCGATAATGGGTCTGTGTGGAATTCTCACTTCCTGAGGTTTGTTGAGCTCGATGAGTATGTTGTTCAAGACTTCCTGGGATTGCTGCACGTGTTGGCTGAACTCCCACGTGTGTTTCACGGTTTCTGTACATAGTTGACACACCGATGTTGGTAGCTTGTCGTCGTTGCTTATTTTTACGTTGAAAAGTTGGAAAATTCGCACTATCAAGTCAATGTCGTCGAGAGCGTTGTAGTGATCAGCGCCGAGTTCGGCGCATAATCGGCAACGGTTCTCCATGACATTATATTAATGAAATGCCGCTTTCCATTGTAAAGGGGGCGAAATTTTGGCCGATTTCACATTCTGGGGGCACTTTTTTTGGTCAATAATAAACAAACATGGAGGGTTGGTTGGCAGATGACAGGTGGATGACATTTGAGACGATTGTAAATAAAAACAAGGCAATTTTAAAATAATTCAACAAGTTTGAACATTCCTTTTTGCATTTTTTGTGTTTGTTTGGGTGTCATAAAGCAACAAATGTTGTTTTTGTAATGAAAAACTTAAAATTAATTTTTGGGTACCAGGGGCACCAATCGCAGAAAGTGAAAAGTTCGTGCTGTTGACAACATTACCAAAGTTCAATGTTTCTGAAAAGATTAAAATAGTAATAAAAATGTTGCAAGTTTTAAATTGTGACCGTTATTGACAGTTTTCGAGTTTGTTGGTCCTCAAATTTGAGTGGATGTGTTTTGAGGATTTTTATGATATGCAACCAACAATACTTCCAAGTTGCGTTGTACCAATCTTGCCACAGAGAAATCCCTATCTGCATCAAATGTCAAACTATCGAAATCTGTTTTCACGATAATTAAGGTGTTACATATTTCTGTAAAACCTTGTCGAGACATCTATCCCAAATGTAAGGCCCCCTCAGAACACAAAACGTTTTTAATGATTTTAGCCGGGTTTTCAAGGTAACTTTTAAAAAAGTTAAAATTTTCAAAGAATTTGCTCGGTTTTTCGAAGGTGAATACGGTTTCGGCCAAGAAAAGTTACCATTTAAAAACACTTAAAATTCGTCATTTAACCCTGTTTTTCTGTTGGGTTACTTCAGAACAAAAATGAATACGGTTTTGTCCAAACAAATTTCATTAACGCCATGTTTTAAACCGTCTGGAAAATCCCATTTAGAACACAACACGTTTTTAATACTTTTAAATAGCCTGGTTTTCAAGGTATATTTAAAAAGCAGATATTCTCATCTCAAACTCATCTAGATAACCATTGTAAACGAAAATTGATAGATTTTTCCGACGAGCAAAACACCCGGGATAAAAACTATATTTGATAATGAATTAGGATTATATGCGATTTTTCCTGCTTTGAAATTTGTACTATATGGGCTTGTTCAGCACACACCATTTTTTTATCAAATCTACCTCGTTTTTCAAGGTACATTTTTTAAAAGTTAAAATTTGCCTTTTTGCTCACTTTTTCTATTGGGCCACTTCAGCACACACCATTTTTTTATGATCCATTTATATGTATATAAAAAAAAAGAAAGACTTTTACTAATACAGACGTTGAATCAGTTTTATTATTTGATCGATAAGCCCACATTTAAATCCGAAAACTGTCAAGTCAAATTTATCAGATTTAACTAATGTATTCGAAATATCAAATTCATAATACATTTTATCTTTAAAGAAATATAAATTTCTATATGTGAATGCTCTGCTTATATTTGGAGGTATTCCAGCAAATAATTCTGAAATAAGGCCATTTTTCTTTGATCTAAACAAACACTCATCAAACTCAATGTACAAGACAAAATGTCAGCCCGCCCACCCACCCTATCTCCATTGTAATCATTTTTTATTCACAGTGAACCAAGGGGGCGAAGTTTAACTGCAAAATTCTAATTTCTTTACGAGAAATTAAAACATGTTTTTGAGTATCGCGTTGTTCTAAAAACACTACGTATATTAAGAAAAAAAGGCAAAATATACACCCCGCCCACCCACCCCATCTCGATTGTGATGATCTTTTTTATTCTTAAAAACCTAAAACATGTTTAAAATGGTAAATTTTTGTAAAGAAGTATGGATTTTTCAATTAGGCTCCGCCCCTAGGTTTGCTAACGAATGAAAACTTCATAACTATTTAAATCAGGGCAGGTATGGGTGGGGCTTAATCTTTGGCTTTAATTTTTTCTTAATATACGTAGTATTCTTTGTCTTTGAATATCACGATACTCAAAAACATGTCTCACATGGTATTTTTGTGGATAAAGAATAAGGATTTTGCAATTAAATTTGGCTCTCGACGATTAAAAAAATCATCATAATTGAGATAGGGCGGGTGGGCGGGGCTACATGTTGCCTTTTTCTAAATTTGTGTAGACTGATTTCAACAACAAGAAACTTAAAACATGTTTAAAATGATAAATTTGTATAGGGAAATATTAATTTTGCAATTACGCTCCGCCTCTCGGTCTGACAAAGAATGAAAAAATTGGGGCTTTTGTTTGGTTTTCTTTTTTAATTAATACATTTATTATATTTCCTTACACCATTTTTTCATTTTAAATATGTTTTAAGTTTCATGTTGTGAAAAGAAGTCTACATATATTAAAACAAAAAGACAAAATGTCAGCCCGCCCACCCACCCTATCTCCATTGCAATCATCAGTACTTGTTAAGATAAGACTGATTTTGGCAGATGACATATCCACGAAGAAAATAGAGGGTGGGTGGGCGGGGCTAACATTTGATAAAATAAAACTGATTTTGGCACTTTTGTCGTTTTTTATGATTCTTCAACTATTTTCGAAAATTAGTTGGATATTTTCCATTTTTCTAATGTCGCTAATTGAAATATAGCAATTTTTGCAGTTTCGTCAAAATCGCTCGGTATAAAAATTTTGAAGTACAAGGATAACAACGAAAACTTCTCATGAAATTATATGATATCCAAAAATTTGGGATCACATTCTAGAAGAATTTCATTTAAGAACTAATATAAGTAAATTTATAGATTTTGGTAGAAGATATTGCAACAGTAGAACACAATAGATTAAGGGTGTACTTCTTTCACATCGTTGATTCTATTAGTTGCCACTCCCATTCGACCAAAGAACATAATTAGCCCCACCCATCCTGCCTCCTTGTCAATGATTGATTTTATCCAATCTGTATGAAATGGGTGATATTATACAGAAATAAAATGAGAAGATGGGGGGTGGGCGGGGCTAGCACTTGCTAAGATAAGGTAGATTTTGGCAGATGATATAACCCAGAAAAAAATGTGGGGCGGGTGGGCGGGGCTAGTACTTGCTAAGATAAGACTGATTTTGGCAGATGACATATCCACGAAGAAAATAGAGGGTGGGTGGGCGGGGCTAGCATTTGATAAAATAAAACTGATTTTGGCACTCTTGTCATTTTCTATGGTTTTTCAACTATTTTCGAAAATTAGTTGGATATTTTCCATTTTTCCAAACTCGCTAATTGAAATATAGCAAATTTTGCAGTTTCATCAAAATCGCTCGGTATAAAAATTTTTAAGTACAGGGATAACAACGAGAAGTTCTCATGAAATCATAAGATATCCAAAATTAAAAAAATAAATAAAATTTAAATAAATTTAAAAATTGTCTACAACGTTTTCCATTTATTTAAATAAAAAGATGTCTTTTAGGAAACCTCAGCGTTCAGCAGATTTTTAATGATATCCTTTGATTTTTTAGTCAATCGATTCGGTTTGCTCATGAGGACCTTTTTTATTCCATCACCTCGTAAATGTTCATTCAACGATTTTTCTTTCATTTTGTTTAGAATGGGCTTTATAATTTCGTCTTTATATGTAGAAAACGGCGGTGATTTTACGTATGTAGACGCTACATTTTTAAGCCCTGAAGTTACACCTTGAATGATATCCTCTTTATTATTTTTCCAAAAAAGTTTTAGTATATTGCGATATAAGAAGCCTAATTAGCTGGTATAGCAAATTTTTTTATAGATTGAAAAATATTTCCACCTCTAATATTTCTGTGATATTTAAGACCAAACATCATCGAATGTTACCGATAAGTCAAAGATGTTGGTAGAGCCAAAAAGTGAGTCGTTATTAAGAAAATGTTCCATTTGTAAAACAATAAAATCTCATTCAAATTTTGTTAAAAATAAAAATCAGAAATATGGAATTGGATGCATGTGTTATGACTGTCAAAAAAGACAAAATGATAAATTTTCTTGTAATATATGTTTTATGGATGTACCGACACTATATAAAAAAAGACATTTCAAAAATATATGGCATGAAAAATTAGAAAGATATATAAGGTTAAAAGGTACCCATAAATATTCTGAATAATTTTTTCTCTACTGAATGGAGATACAGAAAGATCAACTTCTTAAAATGAGTCTTGAGGAAATTGTAAAACTTACTAAAGGGGATTTAAAAAAAGTGGGTGAGATAATTGAACAAATCAATAAAAATATCCTGTCCTCGAGTTCACCTTTGGCCTTTGGCTCACGAAGCTTTGCTGAGTTCAGCGAAGTCTCACAATGAATCGTCATTATTGATGAATAAATATTTTTTAACACCAACATCAGATAATGAAATTGTACTAAATAAACTAAATTTGAAAAAATAAAAAACCATTGCAAGAAGGCAAGGTTTAAAGAACTACTCAAAATATAACTCAAAAACTAAATCAGATCTCATAAAATTAATTTTAAAAGAAGAACTCAATGCTGGAGATTGGCATAATAAATTAAGCGGGATTAGTATTAAAAAATTAAAATCAATTGCTAGCAAACTAAACTTAAACATAAACAGAAATAGTAAAAAAATAGATCTAATGAATCAAATTTCAGATAATGTAAACAATGACAATTTAAACATTCTTCTCAACGAAATCAAATCACCTAGTTTAAAAGAACTATTGAAAGAAGAACCGAAGACAAATCTGGATCAAACGTTAAAAGAACTAAGAAAAATTGCTAAAAAAAAAAATATTAAAGATTACTCAAAAATGAAAAAGGCAGAATTATTACAAAAAATTAGTGAGCAATCTTTTGCATTCGAAGATAGTTATTTTATAGAGTTTTCAAAAAAGCCTAAAATTAAAATAATAGAAACAAAAGCTGAATACAGCAAAAAATGGAAGAAACATAAAGTTTACTATAATATAAGTTATATTATTGAAAGAGGAAGAATCATCCGAGTCTGATCTTTCAGACATAATTATGAGAAAAATTACTGTCATTAGAGAGGGTTTAAATGAAATGGTTGAAATAGTAAAAGAGAAAACAAATTTCAAAGAAGGAGATTTATTAAATATAGTAGTTAATCACAATGATCTTTGGTCCCCTATTTCCACAGGGTTATCAAGAACTTCTGAAATTGATAATTTATTAAACAAAATTCAAAGTATCTTAACTTCAAATCAAGATTTAGATATATACGGTTGTACATTTCATGCAGAAGTTGTTAATATGCCTAGAGGTGCTACTAACGCTAAAAGATTGTTAAATATAACAGAAGACTCACGAACAAAGAAAAGTATAACACAAATTAAAAATAAAGATAGATTATGTTGTCCAAGAGCTGTTATTGTTGGATTAACTTATCATACAAACATTATACTAGGCAAAGAATATAATAATAATGAATTAAAATATATAAGAATGGGGAGAAATTTACAATCAACTTTAGCTCAAGAGCTATGTAATCAGCCAAGATTCTTTTTAAACACAAATTGGAGATTTAATATACAAAGAGAAACTGAAGACTTGTAAAGGTCTAATTTATTTATTAGAAATTCCAAATATTTTGAATTTTAAAAAATAGATAATAGATATAATAGACAATAGATAATAATAATAATAATAATAATAATAATAATAGATAAACGTTAATTGGGTTGCCTACGTCGGAAAGTTGGTGTGCGGATCTGTTTGCCAACGTAATTATGTGTAAAAACAAAAACTCCCTAAACCAAATCCCTAAATCACAAATATTCACGCTGGCACCCCTGGCACCTCTCATACAACATTAGTTTATTGAAGAACACAAAATAAGGTAAGGAGAATTGTTATTAATTTTTGTGTGTTTTGATAGTTTCTTCTGTGCTTTATTTAATTCGAAACTCATGGAAGCGGCTGTCCTATTTTATGTGGCTGAATACACTAAGTACACAATTTTTTAGCATTTCTTTATCTGCTACAGAACAAAACAATGGTTCAAAAAAAGCGGTTTGGTGTTGATAGTCAATTGCTTGACGAATTAAAAATTTGCCAGTTCAATAGAAGGAGAAGATCAAACATGTTTGAACAATCTGCCACTGTTTCCATAAATAACCTGGGAGAAAACGATACTATGGTCAACGCCACCAGCAAAAAATTAACAATTGTTTCTGCAGATTTACACAATGTTCGCCTGCCAGCGCACGACGAAAGAACGGTGGAATTAGTGATCAACATTTGTATGTTTGTCAGAATAAGATTTAGAAGTGCTGCTCATTCATCAGCTTTTAGAAGAGCTCTTGGAAATTTGGCCGAAAATGATTCCTCAGACTCGTGTGAAGAATCCAATAGCTCTCTTTCCACAGAAGGCTCCCAAACGTCCTTTTCGTCAACGGACTTAGATATGATGAGGTCAACAAGTGAATTGTAAGGTGTATCATACATTTATTATAATTATCTATTTATTACTGTTTATTATAAATAATTAATTATTACAGTCCATTTATTTTGTAGAATAAAATTAAATAAATTATTCATAGTTTTATTTATGTCAAGAAAACAAATCTTTTTTGATAATTGTGACTTCGAAAAAACGAGCAAATTCTTAAAAAAATTTAACTTTTTTAAAAGTTACCTTGAAAACCAGGCTAAAATCATGAAAAACGTATTGTGTTCTGAGGGGGCCTTACTAGTAGTATTAACAGAGAACATAGAGAAGCGCCATAGTTTAAATTAAATGACGGTTGAGGACTCCGCAATTTATGTTGGCAGCAGTGTTTGGTTCTAACTAGGAATAAAATTAACTAGAAGAAATGTCACAATATTTTTAACGACGCATTTTACTTTCGACAAATTGACACTAGATTTACCAGAATGTTACAAGCTGCTTACTGTTTCCTTCATTTTCATTCAAGTCACACGAATTACAATTATAGTGAACCAAGGTTTTTATTGCATCGACTATTTAAATTTGGCGCTTGAGGACTCCAATGTCTATAAGGGTGGTTTTGCAAAATCAGCCTCTATGTCGCTTCTCTATGTTCTCTGGTTTAACCGCAGTTATTAATACCAGAGAACATAGAGAAGCGACATAGACATAGAATACCCTCCCTTAGAATACGGTCTCTAAGTACTGGCCCCGCCCACCCACCCTCTTTTCATTCTAACGACTAGTTTTATTTTCTTTTCAGTATATGATCATTAATTTCATTCAAATCGGATAAAATCCATCATTGAAAAGGAGATAGGGTGGGTGGGCGGGGCTAATTATGTCCTTCTGTCGAGTGGGAGTGGCAACTAGTGGAATCTAGGATATAAAAAAAAAATAAAAAAAGACCTGACCAGACTCTGGACAATTTTCGAAAATAGTTGAAAAATGGACGCAAATATCAAAAGTGCCAAAATCAGTTTTATCTTAACAAGTACTAGCCCCGCCCACCCACCCTCTACTTTCTTTGGAAGGTATGTCATTTGCCAAAATCAGCTTGTCTTAGCAAATACTAGCCCCACCCACCCGCCCTTTTCTCATTCTAACGACTAATTTTATTTCTGTTCAGTATTAAGATCCGTAATTTCATTCAGTTCGGATAAAATAAATCCCTGAAAAGGAGACAGGGTGGGTGGGCGGGGCTAATTATGTTCTTCTGTTGAGTGGGAATGGAAACTAATAATAGAATCTAGGATGTGAAAAAATAAAAAAAGACGTGACCAGACTCTGGATTATTTTCCAAAATTGTTGAAAAACGAAAATGTCAAAAGTGCCAAATAAAATCAGTTTTGTTATTTGCGGATGATGCGTAAATATTCCATGATATTAACTCAATTGGAGATGCTATTTTCTTACAAAAAAAAAAATTACTAGGCTATATATGAGTGGTGCATCAACAATAAGTTTAAATTGAGTCTCCTTAAATGCAAAGTTATTTCATTCAGCCCAAAAATGAACGTTATCAATTATGATTATAAAACTGATCAGAGCTTTCTTCCGCCCTATGAAACTGTTAGACTTAGGTATATATTTTGATAATTTTTTTCGATTTGATCAACCTTACATTATTATTATTTCATCCTGTAATCAGGTGCTGAGTTTTATTACGCGCAATAATAAATCTTCTATGATTTGCTAACATCACTTTCATCTTAATCAGTACTAGCCCCACCCACCCACCCGGTATTTTCTTAGAGGATATGTGATTTGCCAAAGTCAGTCCTATCTTAATAATAATAAACTTGGCAATTTTTGGTTAAAAAATTTAAATCATTAGACAACAATGTTTTGGTTATTCAGTAAAAAAAGAGACATTTAGGTAATATATTTAGTCCCGCCCACCCACCCCCTCTCCATTTCAGTGATTTATTTTATCAGGTCAGAATGAAAGGTGGATCTTATACTGAACAGAAATCAAATCGGGCGGGGATAGTATTTGCCAAGATAACACTGATTTTGGCCAATGTTATAGCCTGTAAGCAATTAGAGGGCGGGTGGGCGGGGCCAGTACAGGTTAAGATAAAACTATGATGACATTAATATGATTTTTTTCAACGAAACTGGTTCCGGAAGAAACAAGTTCGCCAACCTTTATGAATAAACCTTGTAATGGTATTATTATTTGTCTTTTCCAAAGCTTTTCACGGGTCAAAGTTCCAATCAACAAATTTTGCGACATAACGTCCACATGAATCGGTTGTTTCATCGACATGAAAATAAATTAAATTATCGCCTATAATTTGATGAATAGCCTGCTTTGTTTTTTGAAACACTTTGTCCACGTAGTTTTTTTTTAAGGTACTCTCAACGAGTACTGACTTCATGGTACGCTTTTTAGGAAATGATCGTAGCTTGGGGTTATTCAATTTTGATAAAGACACCTTTTAAAATAAATGTTATTTATTTAAGATATTTATTCAAAATTTGATAAAAAGGGAAGCACTTTTTTAATATTAGATTTTTGGTAACGTGGATTTGACCTTATTGTTCGCTATTTTTTAATTAATAATAACATAGAAAGTGGTTATAAAAGATCGTATATTAAAGTTGGCTTCGAAATTTCTTGGATTTTGCCGCCTCTTTGTGATGATTTTTGACTACTCGTCGCCTATCACGAATCCCAATTATAATCTAACTTTCTTGAAGGTAAAAAGTGAGAATATTTTTGTTTGTATTATTTTCAGATTGTAATAATTTTTTAAATGAGATAAGGAAGCAACAAATTCTTATTTAAAATTCAAAGGCAATTTTCCAAAGTGAACTTGATGGACGATTTTCTCTAATCAAATCACTCTATATCTGAGTATTACAGTTTTTTTTCACTATCTGACATACAGAGTGTTAAAATTTTGGTTGTAACTAGGAATAAAATTAACTAGAAGAAATGTCACAATATTTTTAACGACGCGTTTTATTTTCGACAAATTGACACTAGATTTACCAGAATATTACAAGCTGCTTACTGTTTCCTTCATTTTCATTCAAGTCACACGAATTACAATTATAGTGAACCAAGGTTTTTATTGGCATCGACTATTTAAATTTGGCGCTTGTCGTTGGCGGTTGAGGACTCCAATGTCAATAAGGGTGGTTTTGCAAAATCAGCCTCTATGTCTATGTGTGTTTTTGTATGTTAGTCTCGAGACGTATTAAGGCGTTTTGAAAGTAGCATATAAAAATTCACAAACAATGTTATAAACACTTTATAAAAAAATTCACCAGCAAAATTCACTTTCAAATTTTGCGCCGCTTTTAGTTCCTAAGCCTGGTGCTAGAGGCGCTCTTAGTGAACAAAACGCGAGTATTAGAGACCTTGTTCTATGTCTATGTCACTTCTCTATTTTCTCTGGTATTAATAACTGCTGTTAAATTGATTGGACAGACTTTAATCCGTTCGCTGACAGTGAAGACGTCAACACAATATGCTGTAATTACAACTTCCTAATTTTTTTTGAAATGTGTCTTGCCCACAATGGATACGCTATACCACCAAACCAACAAATTAATCCAACAGACCCAGCAAACCTTTCAATCGCTCGAACAAAGCGGTGCAAACGCCGTCGAAGTCGAAGTTGACATCCAAGAAAAAATTAATGCAATTAATAGGTAACACCTCCTCAAAAAATTCAATTTTCTTACGCACGTATTGCAGCAACTGTGAGAAACTCGATGTCTACTTGTATAAAGTTCCGATTGATCAAAGACCCAACGCCAAAATGCGTTGCGATCAGTTGAAGTACGACGCGAGACACCTCCAAGCTGCGTTGGCGGCGTCTCAGCAGAAGAGAGCGCGACGGGAGGCGGCGGCTAGCGAAAGGGAACAACTGCTGAGTCGCAGGTTTGCCCCCAATCCCGACTTGACAACCATCAACATAGATTATGCGATTCAGCACCAGAATTCGCTGCAGAATTCCCATAAGGGCATTGACGAGATGTTGCACACAGGAGCTAATGCGCTGGACTCTTTGAGGTCGCAGAGGTTGACTTTGAAGGGGGCGCACAGGAGGATTATGGACATGGCGAACACGTTGGGGTTGAGTAATCATACCATGAGGCTAATTGAGAAGAGGGCGGTGGAGGATAAGTTCGTTCTGATACTGGGAATCGTGATTACGCTTGTTGTTATTGTACTAGTGATTATTTATTTTACTTAGCGGTGACACATTCCCCTGTATTTAAGCAAAGTTTATAAATGTTTCAATACAAGAATATTTTCAGAGCTGGGTTTGATTTGAGCGCGGTTGGTGGAACCAAAATGGCGGCGGCTGATGTGTTTGATTGAGGTTATGTATTTTTTTATTTTTAAGAAAATTCGAAGTGATTGCTAGGATTTATTTCGTCCCTCTGACCTTTTTAACAATAAAAATAAACTTTCTACAAAAAATACTCCAGTAAGTTCTATTTTATAGATTCAAATGAGTGAATATTCACGTGGTGGGGTTATTTGAGCCAGTACGATTTTTGTTAGCATGAAAATCGTACCGATCCAAGGGATCGCGTTTTAATAAATGCCATATCACTTTGTATTTGATTTAGAAAAAGCCGACGTGCGTTTGGTTTTGCCATTTACGATTGTTAGCAAATCAGCAGGCAAGGCACATTGTCATGACACTTCCACTCTACTTTACGACGAAAATAACAAAGTGATATAGTTAACAATACTGAAGATAACAAGCATTATACTTTTAATTCTTAAATAATATAAGTTTTGTAACAAAGTAAAGTAAGTTCTATAACAGAAATAAATAATTCTAGTAAAAATCAGTCGTTTTAAATTTACAATCTATCTGTACATCATGACGTCGGAGCTTTGGTACATACAAATATATGCATCACATAACAATCTGCGAGCATGTTCAGGTAAGTGTCGATCCTGCGGGAAGTCTTCGTGCAACTGGCGACAGATCCTCTCGTCGGATAACCATCGCGAGATGTCGGGGCAAGCCACCATTTCCGGTATATTATAACCGTTTTTCTCCCCTGCAACAACTAGTTTAAAATCGGCTCACACAAGATGGTGTCGCACCTTTTCGATCCGCCATCGAGTCGAAAAAGCACCAGGGAGCCTCGTGCCCGACCCCACATTTGACGAAAGCCACGTAGTGCGAAGTTTCGATACAAATCACAGCAAATAGTTCCATAAAAAGTCGAGGAGGGCGACAGTGATCTTCCAACATAGAGAAATCGTCGCACACTTCCAGCTGCACGGGTCTGTGGTGGGCCCTACGTTCGTGTCGGTGAGCAGTTTCCAAGCACTTGGAGCAGAACGCCGTACTTTCCAAACCCGCGTTGCTGCAGTCGTCGAAGCACTCCTGGCACTCCCACCTAGCCAACTTGCCGCAAACAATACACTGACGAGGAGCTGCGCACAAAACATACAAAGTATTACGTAAACGTGTAAATCCCCAGCGAACTTACAACCCTGTATGACGTCAGTGACATCCAAAAGCTGCGACGGCAAAATCCTGGGATACATCTTGTAGTTCTTTCCGAACCTGGGCATCTGGATGATGAGACACGACGGGACTTCCTTCAGTTTGATATTGCTGGTGAGGAAACTCTGCTCGAACAGCTGCTGCACCGTCGGTAACGTCAAATCCGCGTCCTTTTCCACGAACAGCTGGTAATAGAACGCCTCCTGGCCCGAATTCAACTTCAAAAAGGGTTCAGCCTTGAGTATTTGTGCCAGAAGCGAATTCAGAAACTCCTCTGGATCCTTCTCCTCGCTGGTTAGACCAGACACCGAACTTAGTTTATCTAATAAGCGCCTCAAACGCATCACGTGGTCGGCTCGGACGAAGAGGTTTTTACGGAGAGGGTTGACGATCTCTTCGCGCAAAACCCTTTGAACCTGAACAGGAAAAGTATGAGCAAGAAGAATAGAAAAAATGTTGCGAGTACCTCGTTGTATTCGTGGATGTCTCTTGGTCCTTTCGGTCGAAACAATAAACTGTCGAATACTGCCGTGTAGGTAAACATAGAGAAGAGAGTGACGTCGAGGTAACAGGAGTTGTGGTGGCCTTGGATGCCACGGAATTTGCCGCAGACGGCTTCGACGTCCTCTTCGGTGGGCATGCAGAGGGGCGCCACAGCGCCCTCTATCACCGGACATTCCATCTGTCAAACAAGAATTCGATAATGCGCATGCGTGACACGAACGGACTATAGGCTACAGTTGCTGCAGTAAGTAAAGTGGGATTTATAAGCTTGCTGTTGACGCTGTTTTTCGTATCAAGTCACTTTGATGTTCAACTTTTGCCGTATTTAAAGGGATTATAGAAGAAAAGTGGAGGATTTAAGTTGACATGTTTTAAGTTTCTTGTTGTCGAAATAAGTCTACACATATACAGAAAAAAAGGCAAAATGTAGCCCCGCCCACCCACCCTAACTCAATTGTGACGATTTTTTTTATTCGTCGTGAGCCAATAAGGCGGAGCTTAACTGCAAAATCTTTATTTCTCTAAAGAAATTAAAAACATGTTTTTGACTATCGTATTGCTCAAAGAATATTGTGTATATTAAGAAAAAAATAAAGCCAAAGATTAAGCCCCACCCACACCTGCCCACCTGCCCTGATCTAAATAGATATGAAGTTTTCATTCGTTGGCAGACCTAGGGGCGGAGACTAACTCCAAAATCCATATTTCCTTACGAAAAAATTTTAACATTTTAAGAGTGTTTTAAGTTTCTAAGAATAAAAAGAAATCACAATGAGATCGGGTGGGTGGGCGGGGTTTATATTTTGCCTTTTTTTTTTCTTAATATACATAGTATTTTTTAAACAATACGATACTCAAAAACCTATTTTTAATTTCTTATAAAGAAATAAGTATTTTGCAGTTAAGCTCCACCCCTTTGGTTCACGGCGAATAAAAAAATCATCACAATTGAATTAGGGTGGGTGGGCGGGGTTTATAATTTGCCTTTTTTTCTTAATTTACATTGTATTCCTTGAATAACACGATACTCAAAAACATGTTTTTAATTTCTTATAAAGAAATAAGTATTATACAGTTAAGCTCCGCCCTCTTGGTTAACGGCGAATAAAAAAAAATCATCACAATTGAGACAGGGTGGGTGGGCGGGCTGACATTTTGTCTTTTTGTTTTAATATATGTAGACTTCTTTTCGCAACATGAAACTTAAAACATGTTTAAAATGGAAAATTTGTATAAGGAAATATTAATTTTGCAAATAGGCTCCGCCCCATAATTGCAAAATCTATACTTCCTTGCAAAAATGTACCATTTTAACCATGTTCTAAGTTCTTGTTGTGAAAAGATGGCTACCTATATTAAGAAAAAAAAAAAGGCAAAATATAAGCCCCGCCCACCCACCCTATCTCAATTCTGATTATTTTTTTATTATTCGTCGTAAGCCGAGGGGCGAAGCTTAATACTAAAATCTATATTTTTTTTACGAGAAATTACCATGTGAAATATGTTCTTAAGTAATCGTGTTATACAAAGAAAATTAAATGTATTAATTAAAAGAGAAAACCACACGAGACGCTCCAATTTTTCATTCGTTGTCAGACCGACAGGCGGAGCTTAATTGTAAAATCGATGTTTCCTATACAAATTTATCATTTTAAACATGTTTTATGTTTCTTGTTGTCGAAATAAGTCTACACCTATTAAGAAAAAAGGCAAAATGTAGCCCCGCCCACCCACCCAGTCTCAATTGTGATGATTTTTTTTTATTCGTCGTGAGTCGAGAAGGCGGAGCTCAACTGCAAAATCCTTATTTCTCTACGAGAAGTTAAAAACATGTTTTTAAATTTCACGTAAAAATTTAAATATCTAATTGAAATATTTTTCCATACAAACTTAGCTTCCACATTTCACTCCCTTAGGGGTTGAATTTTAGAAAATGCTTAAAGACGGCTTTCATTATCTGTGTTGAAGAACATTAATACCAAGTTTCAAGTAAAAATATAAAAAAAAAACTAAAGCCAAAGATTAAGTCCCACCCATACCTGGCCTGATCTAAATAGTTATGAAGTGTTCATTCGTTGGCAGACCTAGGAGCGGAGCCTAATTGAAAAATCCATATTTCTTTACAAAAATTTACCATTTTAAACATGTTTTGGGTTTCCAAGAATAAAAAAAAAATCATCACAATCGAAATGGGGTGGGTGGGCGTGGTGTATATTTTGCCTTTTTTTCTTAATATACATAGTGTTCTTAGAACAACGCGATACTCAAAAACATGTTTTAATATCTTGTAAAGAAATAAGTATTTTGCAGTTAAACTTCGCCCCCTTGGGTTCACTGCGAATAAAAAAAATCATTACAATGGAGATAGGGTGGGTGGGCGGGCTGACATTTTGTCTTTTTGTTTTAATATATGTAGACTTCGTTTCACAACATAAAACTTAAAACATGTTTACAATGGAACATTACTATAAGGAAATATCGATTTTGCAATAGGCTGCGCCCCATAATTGAAAAATCCATATTTCCTTGCAAAAACCATTTTAACCATGGTTTAAGTTTCTTGTTATGAAAAGATGGCTATGATTAAGAAAGAACAGACGAAATATATGCCCCACCCACCCGCCCTATCTCAATTCTGATGATTTTTTTTTTTAATTGGTCGTAAGCCGAGGGGCGGAGCTTAATTGTAAAATCGTTATTTTTCTGCGAGAAATTATCATGTGAAATATGTTCTTAAGTAATAGTGTTATACAAAGAAAACTAAATGTATTAATTAAAAAAGAAAACCAAACGAGACCCCCCAATTTTTCATTCGTTGTCAGACCGAGAGGCGGAGCGTAATTGCAAAATCGATATTTCCCTAAACAAATTTATCATTTTAAACATGTCTTAAGTTTTTTGTTGTCGAAATCAGTCTACAAATACTAAGAAAAAAAAAGGCAAAATGTAGCCCCGCCCACCCACCCTATCTCAATTGTGATGATTTTTTTTATTCGTCGTGAGCCAAGGGGGCGGAGTATAATTGCAAAATCCTTATTTCTCTACAAGAAATAAAAAACATGTCCTTAGGTATCGTGTTGTTCGAAGAATACTAAGTATATTAAAAAAAAAATAAAGCCAAAGATCCCACCGATACCTGCCCTGATTTAAATAGTAATGAAGTTTTCATTGGTTGACAGACCTAACCGCAAAATCCATATTTTCTTGCAAAAATACACTTTTTTAAACGCGTTTTCTGTTTCCAAGAATAAAAAAATCATCACAATTGAGAGGGGGTGGGTGGGCGGGGTTTATATTTTGCCTTTTTTCTTAATAAACATAATATTCTTTGAACAACACGATATTCAAAAAAATGTTTTAGCTTCTTATAGCTCTTATAAAGAAATAAGTATTTTGCAGTTAAGCTCCGTCCCCTTGATTCAGGGCGAATAAAAAAAATCATCACAATTGAAACAGGGCGGGTGGGGGGGCTTTGATTTTGCCATTTTGCAAAAATTAACCATGTTTTAAGTTTCTTGTTGTGAAAAGATGGTAATGTATTTTAAGAAAAACAAGAGAAAATGCAAGCATGTTTAAAAGGAAAATTTGTATAAGGAAATTTTGTAATTAGGCTCCGCCCCTTAATTACAAAATCCATATTTCCTTGCAAAAATGTACCATTTTAACCATGTTTTAAGTTTTTTGTTGTAAAAAGATGATTATGTATATTAAGAAAAAAAAAGCAAAATATAAGCCCCGCCCATCCGCCCTATCTAAACACTGATGATTTTTTTTAATGCCTAGAAATTACCATGTGAAATATGTTTTTAAGTAATCGTATTATCCACGTATTAAGAAAAAAAGGCAAAATGTAAGCCCGCCCACCCGCCCTATCTCAATTGTGATGACTTTTTAATTCGTCGTGAGCCAAGAGGGCGGAGCTTAATTGCAAAATCCGTATTTCTCTACAATAAAAAAAAACATGTTTGTGACTGTCGTGTTGTTAAAAGAATATCATGTATATTAAGAAAAAAAACAAGCCAAAAATTAAGCCCCACCCATATCTATTCCAAGCTCAATTGTGATGAATTTTTCATTCAAGAAATTAAATGGCTTAACATTAGTGGACCTCATCATCTCTATCAAAATTAGATTTTCGTGGAATTCGTGCTATCAACGTCAAACAGCAACGTCAGCGACAAGTTTATAAATGGACCTATAAGGTCGATGAATGCACTATAGTTCGAACTTTGCCTATCTTGACTATGAACGTATGAACACAGACAGGCACTGACAACGTAGTACTGGAATTCCAAAAGCGTACAATTTTGAAAATTTCAAACGTCAAATTAACACAAACTCAATAATTCGTGACTTATTTATAGTTTTGTTTAATAAAATACAATTACTTAATGCTTTGTATCCCAATTTGTACATGATTGAAGTTTTTGAAGTTCAATCTAGTGACAAGTCTTTAATTTGACATATGAACGTAGACAGCATTTGGTAACTTTTCCTTTTTCTAACAACCTTATTTTACTTTTAAACGAAAAATTATGGACATTTTACTACGTTTGCCGCGATTATTCGCCTTCTAAACTGGCTACTTAATACAAAAACGTGCAAATCTAGTATGAACACGGACGGTCGCCGCGAACGCAGTCCCAAAATTGGCGAAAAAATGGCCGCATACTTTTAAAAAATCGCATTATTTTTTCGTTTTAAGGTGCGTTTATGGCGATTACCATTGAAATCGATCGTAACTCTGTTCTATTGTTTCTTACAGCTTGGAAATTTGGTTCTGCCGCCTGGTGCACCGGCGTCGGGAGCCCGTCCTGGAACCTGGAGTCCTGGTGGCACTGATCCAAGGGAACGAAAAGCGCCCTGTTCTCCGCGCACTTGAAGTACCTGTCCCCGTTGTGGGTGCCATCGGTGAGTGTCAAAGGCAGATCGTTGTGTTCCTCTTCGAGTTCGACCCCCACTAGCACGAAATTCGTGCCGTTCTCAGCCCCCATCCACTTGACGACGCCATAAAGGGGCTGGTCGGTCACGTCGTTGGAAACCTCGACTAAACTCCCGAGCGTTAAGTCTTTGCTGGTGCCCGGTTTAGGCGTATGATACTTGGGTTTATCGGAGAGGTTTTGCGCAGCCGATGCGGTCGCTTGCTTCTCACTTTTTTCGTTAATTTCTAAGACAAACAGGGGAATATTATTAAGGAAAGCGTAGTCGTTGTTTGAGTAAATGTGATTCATGGTTCTACTTTTGGCACGCAATGTTTTCGATTGATTGAGCATAGCGAAGCTACGAAATAAGCAAATTGTACCAACTTTTTAACAACTTTAACGTACAACACATTGTTTTAGAAAAACACTCTGATAACGAAGCGGACTATTACGGTTATAAATAGGGTTCTAAAAAAAGTCCAGGTTTAGCAGCAAGCTATTTTTAGAAATCAAACGCCATTTGTGAAAGCAGAATTTCGCTTACGTTTCGTGTCTTCCTGGGTCGAGGAATGGCCGTTCTTGACACCGTTGACGGCTCTGGGGAGGGTCGTGTCGTAGAATTTCGCCGAGGCCTGACTAACTTTGTTCCTTTTAGGTAAAGTACTGTCGTAAAAGTGTGACAAAATATTCACGCTTTTGTTCCTGTTGCTTCTGCTGCTCTCCCTGTAGCCGTTCTTCTCGTGTTCGCCTCTGTCTAGAGTTTTATTCAAATTCGAGAACTTCTCCAACTCTTTAGCGTCCGTAGCCCCGTGCCAGGAAGTCCCTATAATATCGCTCAAGTCCATCTCCGATTTCATTTTCGCCTTTTTTTCGTTAAGAAGCTGGGACCTGTCAGGCTGGATGATCGAATTTTGATCAAAATCGTTATTCGAATTGGCAGTCAAACTTTCGGCGTCTAGGATATTTTGCAACGAGAGCGAGCTCCTCAATTGAGTGGAGTTCTTTGGAGAGACGTTCACTTTTTGATCATACTCGCCAAATTTCGTAACGATTTCTTCGTATTTCGGTTTAGAAAAATTGGAGACGTTTTTTTCTAAACATCGCTCTAACTCGCTGTCTTTGGGAGCCTCTTTGTTCGTGATGAGAGGACTATTTTGGAGGACGATTCGGTCGATTGTCGTGAAAACCCCGTACCCAGGTAAGCACTGGAAGTACTGAATGCCGGCACAGGAGCCATCACACTTGTTGTCTTTTTTCTTTTGCTGAAAGTCGTTAGTGAGGGTTTGATTTAACATAAATTGTCGCTCTTACGTGTAATTTGATTCCTACGCAGTGTCCCACTCCGTGCACTTTCCCCAGAAACCTGGTCGTCCCCAACTGGACGCCATCGGTGTCCGTGAACCCCACAGTGATGTCTTTCGTGATGTTACTCAGCTTGTCACAGCGCTCTTTATTTTTCGCTAACTTGACGCGTTCTTGCGGCGACGTCACCGCGTACAAATATTGCCAGAGCTTCTCGTGGACTTCCACAATGCTTTGTTGTCGACAACAGAAAGTCGTGCTCTCCCACGTCTCCCCGTCCTTAAGAAAACGAATTGACATTTTACCGCTCCCGAGGATGGCTTCGATTTTCACAATCTGGCCCAAAAGGGCCGTTCGTTGATGTTGACCTGCCTTCATTTCGTTGATCAGGTCATTTTGAATGAATATACCATATTTGTAGTCTTTGGTGCCCATCTTGTTCATGACGTTTCGAATTTTTTTGACATTTTCCAGTGGACGGGATTCTTGCTGAACAATTACGAAAGTCTCTTAATCAAAACTACGCAACATAAGGAATTAAAAGATAAAAGCTGTTCGTTTTTAATTGTGACACAACGGTGACAGCTCAAACATAAACACCTGTGAAGGTCGCATTACACCGAAATCCCATTAGTTAGAACAATGCAGGTGAGTCATCGGAAATGCAAATTTTGCACCAGAAAAACTCGCATTTAATACGCAAATTCGACTTCGTGAAAATCACAGCTAACTTGATACAATGATTGTCGATTTCAACGCGCGACGAATTTTTTACTGGCCGTCGCGCTCCTGAAGGCCTCAAATCAGCCAAATCGTGTCCTTTTAATCCACTTTTGCGCTCCGGAAATTCCCCGCTCCGAAGTCCCCACCGTCACGACGGTTGGCGGGCCTGCGCATGCGCGTCATCTGTCACATGACTGTCACTGATCATATGACAAGTTAGTGGGTGAGGTGATTAAAAACACAAAATCTTCACAAAAAAACACCCGAAAAATGAAGGGCTGCTTATTTAACATCGACGCGGGATACCTTGAAGGCCTCTGCCGTGGTTTCAAATGCGGAATCTTGAAACAAGCCGACTACCTGAATTTGGTACAATGCGAAACTCTGGAAGGTGAGTATGAGCCCTGAAATGGCCCAAGGTGAGCCCCTTTTTCGCGTAGATCTCAAACTCCACCTGCAAGGAACCGATTACGGGTCTTTTCTTGCCAACGAACCGTCGCCTTTGGCCGTTTCCACGATCGATAACAAACTGAGGGAGAAATTGGTGATCGAGTTCCAACACATGAGGAACCAAGCGGTGGAGCCGTTGAGCACGTTCCTGGATTTCATCACGTACAGCTACATGATCGATAACATCATCCTGTTGATCACGGGGACGTTGCATCAACGTCCCATTGGGGAGTTGATTCCGAAGTGTCACCCCTTGGGGAGCTTCGAACAAATGGAGGCCATTCACGTGGCGTCGACTCCCGCCGAGTTGTACAATGCGGTGTTGGTGGACACCCCGCTGGCTCCGTTTTTCGTTGATTGCATCAGCGAGCAAGATTTGGACGAAATGAACATTGAAATCATCCGAAACACGCTGTATAAGGCCTACTTGGAAGCTTTCTACGCGTTTTGTAAAGAAATCGGGGGGACCACTGCCGACTGCATGTGCGAGATTTTGGCGGTAAGTAGCGACCACAATCATGTGAACAATAACGAGAAAATTGAGATAGTTTGAAGCCGACCGCCGGGCCATTATCATCACGATCAACTCCTTCGGGACGGAATTGAGCAAAGACGACCGTGCTAAATTGTACCCACGTTGCGGTAAGCTTAATCCCGACGGCTTAGCAGCCCTCGTCCGCGCCGAAGACTACGATCAAGTTAAAGCCGTGGCTGAGTATTACGCCGAGTATTCGAAACTTTTCGAAGGGGCTGGAAGTAATCCAGGGGATAAAACTTTGGAGGATAAGTTCTTTGAGCATGAGGTGAGTTGAGGAGTTTCTGGAACAAAAATAAACGTGTGGATTTAGGTACGCTTGAACGTGCACGCGTTCTTGCAACAATTCCACTTTGGGGTTTTCTACTCATATCTGAAGTTGAAAGAACAGGAGTGCCGCAACATCGTCTGGATTGCGGAGTGCGTGGCGCAGAAGCACAGGGCCAAAATTGATAATTATATACCGATATTCTAAGTGGGGTATACATTCCGTATTTATACACACAGTAGCGCCATTGATGTTTTTAAGTGGTTCGTCATTCCTCGTTCAAACTGTCATATGATCGTGAAAAATTAGGAGGAGGCTGTGAAAAACAAATGTCAAGGTTTGACGTTTGCGGGTCACGGTCTCACTTGATTCAGTTTTTTGTTGACATATGGTGCATAAGTTAGATCAGTTGTAAATAATGAATGTATTATAAATGTTATGATTTTAATTATTTCAAATTAGTTTTCTGTGTTAATAAAAATATGCTACAGCTTAGGTTGTGTCTTCAATGAGGGTGAGCTCTTCGTCGCGATCGGGGTCCAAATGTAGTTGGGATAACACTAGGAGTGGTAAGGGGGTGTTTTCAGGCCACTCGTAATGTTGCGCCGTTTTAATACCAAGAATCTCGGAATTGCGTTCCCAAAAACTATCCTGAATCAGATCTTCATGGAATGGAAGAACAACCACACGAGTTTTTCCGTGTTTGGGGTTTTTCACCCTCTTTCGTAATAAAATGGTGCCTTTTTTGAACATTTCGGGTTCGTTGTTATAATTGGTCCCAAATTCGCTGAACAGAATCTCGTTTTTGTCTGAAGATAGTGTCCCAGATAGTCTTTTTTCCGCCTAAAATTTAACCATTTAATTGTTTCAACGTGGTCATGATTCAACTGTTACTTCAGCATTTGTTAACCCTCCTTTAAGCACCAGCGCCCAGAAAGTCGTATTATATAAATTATTTATATGACAGTCGGCCTGTCTCCAGCTTAAGTAGTCCCTCAAGTTCTCATCGCTCGGATACAGAATTACTCTAGCGTCAAACACCGGCGGATATTTCAATTTCGTCTCTTTAAAAAAGTGACTCCAATAAAAGACGTACGACGCCGAAAATAAACTGTTAATGTAGGTCATAATTTTGGGGGCCCGACGGTTGTATAAAGTCGTGTCTTTGCGCAAAACGAACGAATATTCGTCACTTTGTCCGTAACACAGCGAAATGTCTTTGAATTCGTTCATGACAACGGAAGCCGCCTTATTCATAAGCGCTAGAGCGTTGGAATCGTTGGGTTTTTTAAAGTTGTGTTTCGTTGAAAACTGGTGGAATGCTCTGCCGTCAATCCTGACCACGATCCAACTATTTGGAAGAAGTTTCTCTTCGGTCTCGAAAGTCCTAACGTATTCGAATTTGCTCTTCGCCATTGTTGGGGTGTGAATTAATTTTTTAAGATGCGCGAAAAGAGTGCAGGGGACAATACGCATCACAACACTGGAAGTGTTATTAATTTCGCGATTTCGCCGGATAAAGTGAGGTTATGTCACCTTTGACGAATGACATATAGTGTAATTTTCAGCTACGGTACATTGTACCTACTCGGAAACGAAAAAACCCGAAATTCAAAAATTCGTTCATTTCTACGCGATATTCGACTGTACAGTAATTAATTGGCGTAATATTTCAATGCATCACGACACACTAGAAGAGTTGTAAATTTCGCGATTTCGCCGGATGAAGTCAGGTTATGTCACTTTAGACGAATGACATATGGTGTATTTTTGAGCTACGGTACATTGTACCTACTCCTAACGAAAAACCCGGAATTCAAAAATTCGTTTATTAACTTATTTCTACGCGATATTCGACTGTACAATAACTAATTGGCGTAATATTTCAGCAGCTCCTCATCCTGTGGCTTTAAAATCGCTTTATCCCTAAGATTCACAACCCATCCTGGATGCAAACCATAAAATATCTGTCTGGGGTCTTTGCGTTCGGTTAGCATGTCATAACTGGGATCTTTCTCGATTTCAGGGAGACTATAGCCATACTTTTGTGCCAGCACTAGTCTTTCCTCTGAAATTTTATCAGGGTCTGCCAAATACCCCCTTTTTGCGGGGTCCGAATAATATTCAATGGCGTCCGGTGGTGGCATCATTCGTTTAGGGATAGGTACCCCTCTTTCAAAGAACTTTTTAGTGTTAAGCATGCACTGGAGGCTGTGTTGATCATAATACGCCGTCGTGATTACCCCACCTGCTTTTTCAATAGCCGCAATTACAACCTCAGTTGCATATTGTACTTCAATGTTGATTTTTAAATTGAAAACGTCAGCCCCTTCGTCTGTCAATTGAATACCGTATTGACGTTGATCTGGGAGCAGTTTATACAGTCCTGTGTTTACAACTGACACCAAGTCAATGGGTTTTGTGTGGTCGATTCTATTGAGTTCAATAAACTTTAACAGTTGGAGGAGCGACACTGGGGGGTATTCTCGTCTTAAACTGTTTTAAATTAGGTTATGAATGCTTGTCGTGTTAGTACTTACTGGTGGCGTTGATAATATGGTTCATGTGGGAATCGCAGGTAGAAAGGGTTGTTTCCGGTTTCGTACCCCAAACGCATGTAGTTTTGTCGCTGGCCGGAGCCCTTGTTACCACAACCGTGTTTATCACCGCCGTGTTGCCCCCTTCCGCGTTTATCTCTCTAGAATTTGAAAATTTAAAATCGGAAGTGAGGTTATGTCAGACGTACTATTCGTGAATTCGGGTGGGGTCGAATGTTGCTTAAGCACACTCGTGGTAAAAATCGGAGCATACTAAGCGCTTTTTCGGTAGTGTTCGAGCCCATTTTTTATTCGAACCTAAAAATTAAAACAAGAGTGAGGTTAAGTGGCAAGTGAAATGTCAAATCCGTGGCGTCTACCAACATAACAACTGCCAACCGTTGTCACCGTTCGTAGCGAAAATCCCTAAATCAACAAATGAGCATGCGCACTTTGGGTAAAATCGGTTGCAATACGAAATTCATATTAATAAAACTCGGAACTCATATTTATCTTTATTCATCACTATAAAGAAAGTAATTGACGTACAACTCTAATGTTATGATTAACTAACGAAGAAAAACAACATTAATTAATGCAACAACTAACAACTAACTTAAAAATAATAAATATAAAACATACCACGTATGTGTAAATGGAAGGATGATCTTTGACAGCAGAGTATTTTCACATTTTTTCGAAGCATGATAAATGGTGTACAATGCAGCTTACATTTTTTGTAGCGTTTGTAATAAAATTGTGGTTTCACTGGTTGTCGACATTTGGGAAATAATACGAGTAAAAAATGATCATATCGACATTGTCCACAATAGCCGAAAGTACGATTTTGCGCTATGGAGATTCGATTTTTTAGAGTCGTCGTTTTCCTTAGCAAAATTATAAAACTCCCTGCGGTATTAATACAACAAAATTCGTTTCTCGACGGCTTTCCTGCAGATGGGACACTCGGTCATTTGATCGCCGCACATCTGACATAAGCCGTGACCGCAGAGGAAAATCATGTTTTTCAAACGGTCCAAACAGACGGGGCACATCGTCTACAAACCAAAAAAGTTGTTTGATTAAATCCGTGGACAGATTTTTCAAAAAAACGCTTACTTGTTCTTTGATGTCTTGCAATTGTTGCTGTAATTTCTGTATGTCGCTATTATTACTAGTATCTCTTCCTCCGTTGTTCATCAAGGGTCCTTGATTTTGGCCCGAATCGCTCGTGGAAGGCTTCGGTTCTTCTTCAACGTCGGCTTTGACCTCGGAAATGGTACCTAATCCACCACTACAGACCGCCAATGGTACCATCAGCTCAATTTGAGACCGACACATCACACATTTCTTCATGATCTGAGAACAACTCTCGCAGGCACACATATGACCACACGGCTTGAACAACACTGTAGATTTCTTATCAGAACAAACTAAACACTCCTCAATCTGTAAAAAATAGTGTGACTAGAACGAAAATCAAAAGTTCAACCAACCTTGATCCTAGTGGCGACTGATTCTCTACAAATTAGGCACTTCTTGACCCTCGGCCCGCACAACGAACAGCAAGTAACGTGTCCGCAAGGCTGGAAAAGCATGTCCCTTTTGGCGTCCGAGCACACCAGACACTCGTCAAGCGTCGACGTGATATTAGTGTTTTGATTATTCTGATTCGGCCCCATATCCATCTCGCCGCTCTGCTTATCCTTGTGGCACTTCTTCAACGTCTTGCACAAATTCGGATCCGGACACAAATCCAAAGGCGTCTGTCCTTTCTTGTTCTTCAAATCCAAATCCGCCCCGTTCCCGGCCAAGAAGCATGCGATGCTCGCCGACGACTTCTTGTCGCACCCCTGCGTGCCCAACCCCATCAGGAGCTTGCCGACGTCTTGGACGTCGTGGAGTTGGCGCAACTGCGACAAAGTGTGATGGCGGAGGGCTTCGTGAAGGGGAGTGTCGCCGTCTTTATCCGCTATGTTCAAATTGGCGCCTTCTCGGACGAGAAGCTGGAGGACGAGGATTAATGGGGGTTTTGGGGGCGTCGGGGGGTACTTACGCGCACAATTTGGGTGTGTTGGCGCTCGACGGCGAGATGGAGGGCCGTTTGGAGGTTCACGTTCTGGAGGTCCATGTTGGCTTTGCCGTGGAGGACGAGCTGCTCGGCCACTTCGACGTGGTTGTTGAGGGCGGCGAGGTGCAGGGCCGTGTAGCCGTCGTCTTTTTTTTCGTCGACGATCCAGGGTCGGGGGAGTTTGGCCAGGAGGATTTTCATGGCGCTAGAGAAAAAAAAGAGGAGTGTTATATTTAGTAAGAACGTCAAGATTACGTTCTAACTAATATCTAATAGATTATGTCTGCATTCAACTTTGCACAAAGCATACATTATTACTACAGTTGGAGGGTGTAACAAAGGAATATCAAATGAAAATGAATTCAGTTTGCTGTAGATTTCACAGGGATATACAGGAAGATCACATATGCAAAGCCTGCTGTAACTTTGAAGGATTTCAGATCTAAATATTTGTTATGGTTTATTTTTGCGACGTTTCACAATCCCTAGAGAATGAAAAAGTAGGTACCGCGGTTTCGGCAGTCTGTCGGTCTTCGATGCTATTAGGCGGATAATCGTGTGACTGCTGTGAAATTGTGAAAATGCTAATCAAGATTTTTTATTTATCCCCTTCCAAAAACTTGATAACGTCATCTCTGGATAAGTCGCACAAAATATTATAGGTTTGTATTTGTGGTTTATCAGTGTGTATTTAAATTTTTTATCGTGTTTTCTGCCCGTTTTTTGTTGCTTTTTGTAGCGTTTTATGTCGCATTGTGTAGCTTTTGCTATTATTTTTTTATTCGTTTTTTGTCCCCCTTTTTGTCTCTTTTTCTTTTGCCATTTTTTCACTCATTTTTTTTCAGGGTCTTTTTTGCATTATTTATATCATTTTTTTGTCGTCTTTTTTGTCGCCTTCATTGTTGCTGCATTTATTTGTTGCCTTCTTGTTCCATTTTTTATCGTTTTTTTGTCTGTTTTTAGTGGTCTTTCTTTTGCCGTTTTTTCATAGCCTCTTTTAATTTGTTTGTTGCCTTTTTTTGTTTCCCTTTTTGCCGAATTTTTACTTCCCGAGCGAAGGAACTATTGTAATCGAGTCCGTTGGTCGACTCTCTGATTTTATGTTTTATCGACCTCACATGATCCCTAGAGTACAAAGAAATGGGTCTTCCGTTTCCGTCCGTCCGTTTGTCTGTCTGTCCGTCTGCCGTCTCGATTTTTATTAGACAGATACACAAAAATTTACACCCAGTAATAGTAAGCATATTTTAATAATTTTTGATATACTTGGAGATTACGGCAAAATTTGAAGTAATTCATAAACATAACGTGTTAACGGTTCTGGACCAAAATTTTCGAAAAATTTAGTTTGAAATGAAATTTTTCAAATATACATCTTGAAAATTGTCATTTTTCATTTTATCAGGGTACTAAAAATTTGAGATGCTTAAAAAGTTGGTTGAAAATACTCAAATTTTTTTTTTTTTAATTGACAATACTACAGTATTAATGCCCCCGAACTAAAATTTTCCAAAATTTTGTTTGATACTGAGTTTTTTTGACTCGAAAAATGACATTTTTTCATTTTATCAAATCTAAATTTATTTAAAATGGCCAATTTTTGTGTGTGAAAAGTGTTCGAAAGACAAAAAACTGTCGTTTTTTTAATTATTTTTTCGGTGGTTTCGGAAATTATCTTAATTATCGTAGCAGGTATTAGCCCCGCCCACCCACCCTTTTTTTCTTTAAGGGTGTGTCATTTGCCAAAAAATCAGTCTTATCTTAGCAAACAATTGGTCAATTTTTCTAAAGAAATGTGGATTTTGTAATTAAGTTCCGTCCTTCGAAGTGACAATAAATAAAAAATTCATCATAATTGAGATAGGGGCGGGTGGGCGGGGCTTAATCATGACTTCTTTTTCTTAATGTATAGAGTTTTCTTTCAACAATATAATACTCAAAACATAATTCTAACCCCGAATTCACCATTTGATATTGTAAGTATTTTGTTATGAGAAATGGATAAGCCCCACCCACCCGCCCTATCTCAATTGTGATGAATTTAATTATTCGTCGTGAGACCGAGGGGTGGAGCTTAACCGCAAAGTCCATATTTCTGTACAAGAAATTACATTTTGGCTTTTTGTTTTAATATGTGTAGACTTCTTTTCACAACTTGAAACTTAAAATATATTTAAAATGGAAAATTTGTATAAAGAAACATCGATTTTGCAATTACGCTCCGCCCCATAACTGGAAAATCCATATTTCTTTATAGTGAACCAAGAGTTATAAGGTTATATGGCCATCATAAAATCATCCCATTGTGTCGAAGTTAAGTTGTTTACAATAGAAAAGGTTTTAGGGTCGTAAATAACGTGTCCACTGCAGCTCGACCGGCTCTTGTGGTTTCGTTCAGGGGCGGCTTTCACTAAATATGAAAATCCACCACTCCACTATTTCTTTACTACCTGCAGCCGCTGAGGGTTCCGAAATAACCACTCGCTTTGAAAGCCGGCCCTGTTAAATATGAGCAAGAAATGCTTAGAAGATGATTTATTGCCAACCGGTAAGCTTAGTGCGAACCACACAAAGGGGGTATTTATTTGCGGTCAACTACTTTTATGATGGCCATATAACCTTATAGGTCTTGGGTCACTATACAAAAATGTACCATTTTAATAATGTTCCAAGTTTCTTGTTGTGAAAAGATGACTATACATTTTAAGAAAACAAGGCAAAAAATAAACCCCGCCCACCCACGCTATCTCAATTGTGATGATTTTTTCTTAATCGTCGAGAGCCAAAGGAGTGGAATGTAATTGCAAAATCCATATTTTCTTACAAAAATTTACCATTTTAAACGTGTTTTAAGGTTCTAAGAATAAAAAAAAAATCATCACAATGGAGATGGGATGGGTGGGCGGAGTCTATATTTTGCCTTTTTTCATAATATACATAGTATTCTTTGAACGGGATACTCAAAAACATTTTTTTTTCTTCTAAAGAAATAAGTATCTTGCAGTTAAGCTCCGCCCCTTTGGTTCACGGCGAATAAAAAAAATCATCACAATTGAGATAGGGCGGGTGGGTGGTGCTTACATTTTGGCTTTTTGTTTTAATATGTGTAGACTTCTTTTCACAACATGAAACTTAAAATATATTTAAAATGGAAAATTTGTATAAAGAAATATCGATTAAGCAATTAGGCTCCGCGCCATAATTGCAAAATCCATATTTCTTTACAAAAATGTACCATTTTAATAATATCCCAAGTTTTTTGTTGTGAAAAGATGGCTATGTATATTAAAAAAAAAAAAGGCAAAATATAGGCCCCGCCCACCCGCCCTATCTCAATTGTGATGATTTTTTCTTAATCGTCGAGAGCCAAAGGAGCGGAATTTAATTGCAAAATCCATATTTTCTTACAAAAATTTACCATTTTAAACGTGTTTTAAGGTTCTAAGAATAAAAAAAATCATCACAATGGACTATATTTTACCTTTTTTCATAATATACATAGTATTCTTTGAACACGATACTCAAAAACATTTTTTTTTGTTCTAAAGAAATAAGTATCTTGCAGTTAAGCTCACGGCGAATAAAAAAAATATATCACAATTGAGATAGGGCGGGTGGGTGGGGCTTACATTTTGGCTTTTTGTTTTAATACGTGTAGACTTCTTTTCACAACATGAAACTTAAAATATATTTGAAATGGAAAATTTGTTATGAAAAGATGGCTATGTATATTTAAAACGAAAGGCAAAATATAAGCCCCGCCCACCCGCCCTATTGCTATTGTGATATATATTTTTTAATCGTCGAGAGCCAAAGGAGTGAAATTTATTTGCAAAATCTTTATTATTTGTCTACAAGAAATTACCACGTAAGACGTGTTTTTGAGTGTCGTGTTATTCAAAAAATACTATAAGTATTAAGAAAAAATATATTTGTCGTTTTTTCTTAATATATGTACATATGTAGTATTCTTTGAACAACACGATACTTAAAAACATGTTTCTAATTTCATGTAAAGAAACAAGTATTTGCAGTTAAGCTCCGCCCCCTTGAATCACGGCCAATAAAAAAAATCATCACAATTGCGATAGGGCGGGTGGGCGGGGCTTATATTTTGCCTCTTTTTGTTAATACACGTAGTCAACTGTACAAAATTTTGCTAATATAGCAGCGTCGATAAACAGATTAAGCAAGAGAAATGTGGAATTTAGTTAGAACGTGGAATATCAAAACTCTTTTGAAACATTGAAAAATGCTTTACTAAACCCACCAATTTTACAGTATCCAAATTTTGCAGAAAATAACACTTTTATTTTAAAATTTGACGCTTCGCCCATTGCATTAGGAGCCGTATTCATTTCTTTAAGTCAGGTTTAATATCATTTCAGTAATGTATCATTTATATTTATTTTTCAAGAGACTAAAATGCAAAAAGAAATTGCTTAGAATGCGAGCGCAGCGAGCATGTGTAGGTGTTATTAAAAATAATTCAAAAAATTTATTTATCGCGTACAAAAAAGTGTGTCTCGAAAATAAATGATTCATTGCAAATGATGCGAAGACCTGAAATTGCTCACTGCGCTCGTATTCTAAGGGTGAATTTCCGAAAATCTACAAAATTATTATGATAAATGATCCCAAACTACTTTGCTAAAACACTTTCCTGAATATTTCTGAAACTAAATTGTAAAGAAATAGTTTTTAGAAGGCGAGCGCAGCAAGCACATTCAGGGTTTATTAAAAAAATTGGGAAGCGGTAAACGAATGAATTTTGATTAACGATTTACCATGCTTATATATATAATTTTTTATTTTATAACCTTAAAATGTTTGCAAAATTTTAGAGCATTCGGTTTTGCAGTTTCAAAATTAAATTGCAAAATTTTGTCATACATTTTTGATTTTTCTTTTTCAAAAATCTGGATGTTTTGAACGAAAATCAACACGTCATCATATTGTTAGTAGGATGATTAGATGAGTTGACGCATAGACGGCGAACAGACCGACAGACAGTCAGATAGACGAACAGACGGAAACGGGGACCGATTTTTTCGTACTCTAACAAGTCGAGAAAACATGAGGATGTAGTCACTGAAGACCAGAAAAAATCCTAATCTTTTAACACTGTAGAACTTTTGTAAATTTTACGTTACTATACTGGGTTGCTACAAAATTGTGTAAAGGAAAAACTCAACTCGAAAAGGC